ATCCTGGACCCCTGCCCATCCTGGCTTCTAAAGGAGGCCAGAGGGGGATTGGCTGAGTGGGTTAAGGTGGTGGTTAATGCTTCCCTTCGGGAAGGCAAGATTCCAGCGAGCTTAAAACAAGCTATAATAAAACCGCTGTTGAAGAAACCATCACTGGACCCCACTAAATTCGACAACTATTGGCCAGTTTCCAATCTCCCCTTCTTGGGCAAAGTCTTGGAACGTGTGGTGGCCTCACAACTCCAGGTATTCTTGGTAGACACGGATTATCTAGACCCGGCACAGTCTGGCTTTAGGCCGGGACATGGTACCGAGACAGCCTTGGTCGCCTTAGTGGATGATCTGCGCCAGGAGCTCGACAGGGGGAGTGTGTCCCTGTTGGTGCTGCTGGACCTCTCAGCGGCCTTCGATACCGTCGACCACGGTATCCTTCTGGGACGCCTCGCAGGGATGGGTCTTGGAGGTACTGTTTTGCAGTGGCTCCGGTCATTCCTGGAGGGTCGATCTCAGAAGGTGTTGTTGGGGGACACCTGTTCAACCCCACAACCATTGTCTTGTGGGGTTCCTCAGGGCTCAATATTGTCTCCCATGTTGTTTAACATCTACATGAAGCCGCTGGGGGAGATCATCCGGAGTTTCGGGGTACGGTGTCATCTGTACGCGGATGATATCCAACTCTGTCACTCCTTTCCACCTGCTACTAAGGAGGCTGTCCAGGTCCTGAACCGGTGCTTGGCCGCTGTGACGGTCTGGATGAGGGCGAACAAATTGAAATTGAATCCAGACAAGACAGAGGTACTCCTGGTCAGTCGCAAGGCCGAACAGGGCATCGGGTTACAGCCTGTGTTGGATGGGGCCGCACTCCCCCTGAAGACGCAGGTTCGCAGCTTGGGTGTGACCCTGGACTCATCGCTGAGCCTGGAACCCCAGGTTTCGGCGGTGACCAGGGGAGCATTTGCACAACTAAAGCTTGTGCGCCAGCTGCGCCCGTACCTTGGGAAGTCTGACTTGGCCACGGTAGTCCACGCTCTGGTTACATCCCGTTTAGACTACTGCAACGCTCTCTACGTGGGGTTGCCTTTGAAGACAGCTCGGAAGCTCCAACTAGTCCAACGCTCGGCAGCCATGATTTTAACAGGAGCGGAGCGCAGGGAGCATACAACCCCCGTTGCGCCAACTCCACTGGCTACCGATCTGCTACCGGGCTGAATTCAAAGTGCTGGCGTTGGCCTTTAAAGCCCTAAACGGTTCCGGCCCAAGCTACCTATCTGACCGCATCTCTGCCTATGAACCCACCAGGACTTTGAGATCTTCCGGGGAGACCCTGCTCTCGATCCCGCCTGCTTCTCAAGCTCGGCTGGCGGGGACGAGAGATAGGGCCTTCTCAGTGGTGGCTCCTCGGCTGTGGAACGCCCTTCCTACGGACATTAGACTAGCACCATCTCTAATGGTATTCCGCAAAAAGGTGAAGACCTGGATGTTTGTGCAGGCGTTTGAGTAATTTAGTACAATCTGGTAATGGAACATAGGAATGGAACAATGGACGACGAATCTGGACTACGCTTGGATGATGAGAAGATTGGGTACGGGTGTTTTTTGTAATAATTGTGCATTGTAATTGCTTATTGGTAATTTATGGATAATGTGTTAAGTCAATTGTTATATGTTGTATGGAACCACTGCTGTTTCTACTGTTTCTTACTGTTTGTGAACCGCTGTGAGTCGCCTTCGGGCTTGAGATACAGCGGTATAGAAGCAAAGTAAATAAATAAATAAATAAATAAATAAATAATACTCAATACTCCTTGGCTGAATCTGCCTGAAGGAGAAGATGACAAACACCATGGACAGCAACAGCAAAAGGTTTATACAATAGGGCTGGGCGGTTTCGTTTCGTTAATTCGTAATTCGTTAATAATTCGTTAATTTTTTCAATTACAAAACGATAACGAACCATTCTGGAGCAATTATTTAAAAAAACGAATTTTCAAAAACGTTTTGTAAATGCTTCGTATTTCAATATTGTATTCGTTTCGTTATTGTTTTGAGGTCGTTTCGTTATTATTTCCGCATGTCTGGGCCAGTTTTATGGTTTAATTAGTGAAAAAAAATTATAATATCACACCAACAGTCAACAACAGAGGGAGAGGGAAGCTTCAGAAGGTTTTGGAGGTTTTTTAGCGTATTTCGCGGTCGCGTCCGCCATTAACGAATCGATTCGTTATTGTTTCGGAAATCGATTCGTTAATTTTCTACCATTTACGAAATTTCGTAAATATCGAACTTTTTAAAAGGAAAATTTTGTAATTATTTTAAATATCGAAACAAAAAAAACCCCCAAATACAAATCGATTTTAGAAACAAATTTTTCCGTTGTTACCCAGGCCTATTATACAACAGTGTAGATTAGGACTTTACTGAAAGCAAGCAGATCTTCAATAATATCTACAGTTCTTCCATATTTCAGAGAGGAAACACAAAGGCATATCTCTTTCTAGTTGTGCATATACATAATCAAGTACAGATTTCATAATTATTTATAGCAGTGGTATGGAAATAGCCTTTGTGTCCATTTTTGATCCCTATTGACCCCTGGAAACTCTTATATCTCCACTCAACGGTTGCATGTTTTTAAACAAATTTTACCCCCCCCCCCTTTTGTATGATCTCCACAAGTGTTACCCCTTTTTTGTATAACCTCTCCCCCCCAAAAAAAATTCCATCAAAAATGTTGAATCAGGTTTTTTTTTTTTTGTCGTGTCAGGAGCATCCTGTTGTGAGAGAATTGGCCGTCTGCAAGGACGTTGCCCAGGGGACGCCCGGATGATTTTGATGTTTTTATCATCCTTGTGGGAGGCTTCTCTCATGTTCCCGCATGAGGAGCTGGAGCTGATAGAGGGAACTCAACCACCTCTCCCCGGATTTGAACCTGTGACCTGTCAGTCTTCAGTCCTGCCAGCACAGGACTTTAACCCACTGCACTGCCGGGGGCTCCAGGTGATACCCTCTTTTGAAACAAGAAACTCCTCCTAAAAAAAAACATTCAAAATGAAACAAAAAATAATGTCACATCTAGTTATTCAAAATGGTGGCTGTGACAAGGCAAATGGGTTCTCTAGAACTGAAGAAGAGGGAAAGAAATATGAGGTAATACATCTCCTTGGACTTCAGGACATGTCCACACCAGGTTGTATTCAGAGTAAAAAATGATAGAACAACAGGGCCAATGCACCTGGAGGATTTACCAGTCCTCAGTTAACACTGAGTAACTTGAATGAATGTCCTCTTTTGCTTAAATTTCAATTATTCTTGCTTTAGATCAGTGGTTGTCAACCTGGGGTTCCCAGATATTTTTGGCCTTCAACTCCCAGAAATCCTAACAGCTGGTAAACTGACTGGGATTTCTGGGAGTTGTAGGCCAAAAAACATCTGGGGACCTCAGCTTGAGAATCACTGCTTTAGATCCTGGGAGGAAGTTAGACACATCTGCACACTTACAGAAATGGAAGTTAATCATACCATATTCTGACTGATATTGCACCATTAGCACAGGCCACATATTAATAAAATTAAGGGCACCAACTTTGGTTTGGTCTTAAGCAGGTTTAGTCTTAAGCAGGATGGAATCGTGCCAATGTTCATAAACAAGCGTGTAAGTCTCTGCTCTTTTGAGAGTGAACCTATACAAACGGTCAGGGAGGAGGTTGTGAATTTCACATGTGTTTTCTCTTGCCACCACAAGAGAGCCCCTGGTGGCACAGTGAGTTAAACCCCTGTGCCGGCAGGACTGAAGACCGACAGGTCGCAGGTTTGAATCCTGGGAGAGGCGGATGAGCTCCCTCTATCAACTCCAGCTCATGCGGGAACATGAGAGAAGCCTCCCACAAGGATGATAAAAACATCAGTTCATCCAGGCGTCCCCTGGGCAACGTCCTTGCAGACGGCCAATTCTCTCACACCAGAAGTGACTTGCAGTTTTTCAGGTCACTCCTGACACGACAAAAACAAAACAAAACAAAACAAAAAAACAAAAAACAAAAAAAACAACAAGAGAAACAGTGCTGTTTAAAATTAAAAGAATTACAGTGCAGAAAAGTTACAGAAACAATTCTTATTCTCTAAAGCAAGATGTGAGGCTTGTATCTAACGAAAGACTGGTTTGGACACTTTTGAAAAAGGACTTTTTTTTTGGGGGGGGGGAGCCATTTTTGAAAATGCTTATATATATTTTCAAAGGGAATGATGCTCACAGTATGTCCTAGGCCAGTGTTTCTCAACCTGGGGGTCGGGACCCCTGAGGGGGTCTCGAGGGGCTGTCAGAGGGGTCGCCAAAGACCATAAGAAAACACAGTATTTTCTGATGGTCATGGGGATTCCATGTGGGAAGTTTGAGCCAATTTTATTGTTGGTGGAGTTCAGAATGTTCTTTGATTGTAATGAACTACAAATCCCAGCAACTACAACTCCCAAATGTCAAGATCTATTTTCCCCAGAATCCACCAGTGTTCACATTTGGGCATATTGAGTATTCGTGCCAAGTTTGGGCCAGATCAACCATTGCATGAGTCCACAGTGCTCTCTGGATATAGGTGAACTACAACTCCCAAAGTCAAGGTCAATGCCCATCAAACCCTTCCAGTGTTTTTCATTGGTCATGGGAGCCAAGCTTGGTTCAAATCCATCGCTGGTGGGGTTCAGAATGCTCTTTGATTATAAGTGAACTATAAATCCCAGCAACTACAGCTCCCAAATTACAAAATCAATCCTCCCCCAACCCCACTAGCATTCACATTTGGGTGTATTGGGTGTTTGTGCCCAGTTTGGTCCAGTGAATGAAAATGCATCCTGCATGTCAGATATTTACATTATGATTTATAACAGTAGTAAAATAACTGTTATAAAGTAGCAACAAAACTAATATTATGGTTGGGGGTCACCACAACATGAGGTACTGTATTAAGGGGTCACGGCATTAGGAAGGTTGAGAACCACTGTCCTAGGCATTTAGAACTGGTTTCCAAAACAGCTTGAAGTCATTTTTCCCAGTTAAGGACATTGAAAGCAAGAAAGCCTCTTGTAACACTTACAGCAGAACAGTCCATATTTCTTAAGGCAAAGCTGTAGACTCTGTGATGTAAAGATCTGAAGTCATCATCCTGCTACCACTCACATTGATGACTTAAACATATAATTATTTCCATTCATTTCTCCTTTTCCTACCACTACCATGTATTCATTAACGGTTGCATTGTGCAGTGCACTGAGTAGCCATATGTTGTATAGGGAGAAATGCATAAGCTGTAAATGAGCAACGAATCGAGATAAAGATTCCGTCAATGGACCAATTCAAACTGAATTTTGAACCCCTTTTAGGAAGTCAAGTAACTAAACAGACCAGGAACACTCTGTGCATTAGTCGATATTATTGAATTAAGATTGTCTGGAAAGGAAGATTCCAAATGGCAAGCAGTCCAAGTATCAAAATAATTTTCTTCAGATTTGAGACAAAGGCCCAGGAGGTAGTATTACATTGCAGAACCTGCAGCAGTGCTTCTTGGGATGGCCATGAATCTCTGTAATCCAGAAAAAAAGAAAGAATATTTAACTGATAGAATTTGCCAAATCTTTACCCAGTTGTACTTATAAAGGTGCTTTCCAATCTATAGATTATATGGACAATTTGTCCTTAGCAAGTCATATTTTCTCCTATGCTTTGGATGTTGATTTTTAAAGTCTGATTCCCAGTCAATACATTGATATCCTGTCTTTTCAATCAACATTAACTTGTTGCTGTGTAACTCCCTTGTCTTTAAAATAAGTCCACCTGTGTCAACACTCTCTTCTCATAGTTCTTACTGTGTGTCTTCAAGTCATTTCAGTTTATCATGATTCTACAGTGAACCTATTTTAGTGGGTTGTTGTAGGCTTTTCTGGGCTATATGGCCATGTTCTAGAGGCATTTTCTCCTGACGTTTTGCCTACATCTATGGCAAGCATCCTCAGAGGTAGTGAGGTCTGTTGGAAGTAGGAAAATGGGTCTATATATCTGTGTAATGACCAGGGTGGGAAAAAGGGCTTTTGTCTGCTGCAGCTAGGTGTGAATGTTTCAACTTCCAACAGACCTCACTACCTCTGAGGATGCTTGCCATAGATGCAGGCGAAACGTCAGACGAAAATGCCTCTAGAACATGGCCATATAGCCCGGAAAAACCTACAACAACCCAGTGATTCCGGCTATGAAAGCCTTCGACAACCTATTTTAGATTTTTTGAGAGCAAGATTTGTTCAGAGTGAATTTTTCTTTGCCTTCTTCTGAGCTTCAGAAATCATGGATTGACTGAGCTCACCCTGTAGGTTTCTATGGTTGAGTGCGGATTTGATCTCTGGTTCCCAGAATCATAGTCTAGCACTCAAAACTCTATACCAATGGTTCTCAACCTGTGGGTCCCTAGATGTTTTGGCCTTCAACTCCCAAAAATCCTAACTGCTGGAAAACTGGTTGGGATTTCTGGGAGTTGTAGGTCAAAACACCTGGGGACCCACAGGTTGAGAACCACTGCTCTATACCATGCTGGCTCTCTCTTGGTCTTCTGCACCATGTCATCTAGCATTCCTCTTGAATTGCCTTAAAGAAACATATTTAAGGATTTTTGAGGGAAGTAGCCACCTTAGCTAAATCTAAGATTGTTTGAAAGTTACTGCTACTGTTTTTATTATTCATTCTGCATAACTGTACAGTGTTCTCTCAATTATCGCGGGGGTTATGTTCCAGGAACATCCACGATAACTGAAAATCCATGAAGTAGGGACACAGTATATACATATGTCCTCCATCCGCCTTCCCTCTGGAAGATGGTCCCTCTCTCAATCAATCAATCAATCTCTCTCTTTGTCTGGTTGCTGCTTTCCCTCCACCTCAAGCTCACATCCAGCCTGGGTTTCATGGAACATGCGTGGTGGTGCCAAGGAGGGGGAGGAAGGTAAAGAAGGCAAGGAGGCTGAGCCTATGCAGAGATCCATCCATCCATCCACCTCTCCTTCCTCCTCCAGTGTTCCTTCACTACTTGTATACAGTACTTTATTATACATTCATTTTTTAAAAAAACAAAACTACGAAACAGTGAGTCTGCAAAAAGTGAACTGCAAAGTAGCAAGGGAACATTGTACCCGGAATCCATAGAAACAGGTTATTTGCCAAGTTGGAATGAGAAGATCATGTGTCCTTTGCTGACACTGGATGACCTCATAAGAGTTGTGGGACCCAGTGAAGAAACTTTCAATGGACTAGACATGATGGAAAGATCTGTGGTTTGGGTTAAAAGTATCCTGATCAGTAGCTGTCATGGTGCATTTATACATAGAAAACCCAGGTTCAAATTCTTGCTGAACAATTAATTCACTGATTAGACAAACAATTAATGTGGATCCTAGGTACAATTGTATAGAAAGAAGAATAGCAGCAGCTACCACCTAAGAACACAAATACGGATATGGGGATGGAACAAGAGGACATGTAGACATTTGAAACAGGAAATCCATAACTAAAGTATCTCAAATTGAGAACTAATTCAACCCCTACTTGATGGCACCTCATGAAGGAGAGTTCTTTGCATCAGGCATTAGCATTATCATCAGCGTCTCCTAGAGCCAGAAATTAAGGGTGGAGCTATACTGTAGAATTAATGCAGCTTAACATCATTTTAACTGTTTTCTCACCAAACTACAAATCCCAGGATTCCATAGCATAGTGTCACACTCAGTTAAAGTGATGTCAAACTGTAATGACTTGACCTGACTTGGCCACGGTAGTCCACGCTCTGGTCACATCCTGTATAGACTACTGCAACGCACTCTAGGTGGGTTGCCTTTGAAGACTACCCGGAAGCTTCAAATGGTCCAATGGACAGCAGCCAGATTGTTAACAGCAGCGCCGCTCAGGGAGCACACAACACCTCTGCAGTGCCAGCTCCACTGGCTGCCAGTCTGCTACTGGGCACAATTCAAAGTGCTGGCTTTACCCTATAAAGCCCGAAACGGTTTTGGCCCAATTTACCTATCTGAACGCATCTTCTCTTATGAACCATCTAGGACGTTAAGATCATCCGGGGAGGCCCTGCTCTTGATCCCGCCTTTATCACACGTACGTTTGGTGGGGATGAGAGACAGGGCCTTCTCTGTGGTGGCCCCTCAACTACGGAATGCCCTACCTAAGGAAATTAGATCGGCTTCCTCACTCTTAACATTTTGGAGACAAGTTAAGACATGGTTATATGAGCAAGCATTTTCAAATGCAGAATAACTGACATAGGAAATGGAATCACTCAACAATGGAACTTGGACAAGGTTATTTAACTAGGAGACGCTAATGATAATGATTTATTGTTTTTATTGCTTCTATTGTGGTTTTATACTGTTTTAATGTTTAATTTGTATTTTGTTGTTGTGTATACTGACTTCTTGTAAACCACCTTGAGTCGCTGAGAAGGCTGAGAAAGGCGGTATACAAGTATAGTAAATAAATTATGATTCTACAGTGTAGATGCCCCAAATTCATCGCCTCTGTCCACTGAATCCAAGAGTATCTGGAAATTAAATTCAAGTTAAAGAAACGTATCTCTTTGTGACAGAAAAGAACACACATGAAGATATGCACCTCACTTTAAAGTTAAATGTCACTTCTAGGATCATAAATGTTCTTGATTAGAATTTAAATATTAATTTGGTGTTGTCCAACTTCCTGAATAATCCGATGTTAGGTCTGCTCATTATTATTAAGGGGATTTTTTAATCTAAATATGGAATGTTTGAACATGTTTTTCCTCAAAGAATTTGGCATGAAAAGATTTTCAAATACCACCACTGACATTGGAATTGACAGAATATGGAGACATTGCTTTGCTGGATAAGAAATGCCAAAAGCCACAACTGGCATGGGTAGGAGGAAGTTTTCTGATAATTGCCACCATGAATATAAGGAATGAATGTGGTAAGCTTCTCCAGTTTGAAGTGCCAATCACCTAAAGAATAAATTTTAAATCTAACTTCTGTCTTTAGACCTTTGCTATGATTTGTATTAAGGGGGACGTCTGGCTCGAGAGCAGTACTTGTGAAAAAGATCTTGGAGTCCTCGTGGACAACAAGTTAAACATGAGCCAACAATGTGATGTGGCGGCAAAAAAAAGCCAATGGGATTTTGGCCTGCATCAATAGGAGCATAGTGTCTAGTAGGCCTGTGCGGTTTCGTTCGTTAATTCGTTATTTCGTTATTAATTCGTTAATTTTACCATTTCCGAAGCGATATTGAAGCATATTCCCAAACCCGGAAGGGTTTTTAAATATCGAACCAGCAGCCCCCAGAGTTTTAACGAGCCTCCGCTCGTTTCGTTAATGGGGTGGAGGCTGCTGGAGTGCTGGTGCATGGGAGCCAATCCGGCGCTCCCAAACAGTGCACCACCATGGGTCCGTGGCTGCCTGTTTTTGATTGGCCGGCGAGCCCTTTCAAAGCGGCTCCGCGCGGCCCGTAGCTTCAAGAGGGCGAGGGAGTTTGCATTGGGTTGGCTTGGCAATGGCTGCTAGCAACTCGGATTGGATTCATTCCTTGCTGCTGTGAGTGCTGCTTGCTTCATTTGCTGTCTCTTGCCTGTGTTTGGTCCACATTTGGGCCATTTTTTGGTTAATTTTCCATTTTAAAATATTTTTAATATTATTTTTTAATATTATTTTTTAATATTATTTTTAATATTATTTTTAATATTATTTTTTAATATTATTTTTAAAATATTATTTTTAAAAAATATTCTAAAAAAGAAAAGACTCTTCTGTTGGTGTGTGCTCTCATTTGCTGTCTCGTGCCTGTGTTTGGTTCACATTTGGGCCATTTTTTGGTTAATTTTCCATTTTAAAATATTTTTTAATATTATTTTAATATTATTTTTATATTATTTTTTACTATTATTTTAAAAAAATATTCTAAAAAAGAAAAGACTCTTCTGTTGGTGTGTGCTCTCATTTGCTGTATCCTGCCTGTGTTTGGTCCACATTTGGGCCATTTTTTGGTTAATTTTCCATTTTAAAATATTTTTAATATTATTTTTAATATTATTTTTAATATTATTTTTAATATTATTTTAATATTATTCTTAAAAAATACAAAAAATATTCTAATGGTGTGTGCTCTCATTTGCCCTGTCTCGTGGCTGTGTTTGGTCCACATCAGGGCCATTTTTTGGTTAATTTTCCATTTTAAAATATTTTTTAATATTATTTTAATATTATTTTTTAATATTATTTTAATATTATTTTTTAAAAATATTCTAAAAAAGAAAAGACTCTTCTGTTCGTGTGTGCTCTCATTTGCTGTATCGTGCCTGTGTTTGGTCCACATTTGGGCCATTTTTTGGTTAATTTTCCATTTTAAAATATTTTTTAATATTATTTTAATATTATTCTTAAGAAATACAAAAAATATTCTAAAAATTCGTTAATATTTACAAAATTTCTTAAATACCAAAACTTTTTTTGGGAAAGTTTTGTAATTATTTTAAATATCGAAACAAAAAAACACCCCAATTACAAATCGATTTTAGAAACAAATTTTTTCTTGATCAAACAGGCCTATTGTCTAGATCTAGGGAAGTCATGCTACCCCTCTATTCCGCTTTGGTTAGACCACACCTAGAATATTGTGTCCAATTCTGGGCACCACAATTCAAGAGAGATATTGACAAGCTGGAATGTGTCCAGAGGAGGGCGACTAAAATGATCAAGGGTCTGGAGAACAAGCCCTATGAGGAGCGGCTTAAGGAGCTGGGCATGTTTAGCCTGAAGAAGAGAAGGCTGAGAGGAGAGATGATAGCCATGTATAAATATGTGAGAGGAAGCCACAGGGAGGAGGGAGCAAGCTTGTTTTCTGCTTCCTTGGAGACTAGGACGTGGAACAATGGCTTCAAACTTCAAGAGAGGAGATTCCATCTGAACATGAGGAAGAACTTCCTGACTGTGAGAGCTGTTCAGCAGTGGAACTCTCTGCCCCGGAGTGTGGTGGAGGCTCCTTCTTTGGAAGCTTTTAAACAGAGGCTGGATGGCCAGCTGTCAGGGGTGATTTGAATGCAATATTCCTGCTTCTTGGCAGGGGTTTGGACTGGATGGCCCATGAGGTCTCTTCCAACTCTTTGATTCTATGATTCTATGAATGGCCTGGATGGCACCCATCTGAGATGACTCTTGTTCTTTTATTATGGACAAGATAGGAGATAAGCATACTTTTGTGCACTCCATGTTTCTCTGACTTCTTCATTTTGCAGCAGCACTTTCTTCTAACTTTTAGACCTAAGGAACAATAGGAAAAAAATGTCAATCAATACAGAAGGGCATTGGAAAAACCTTAAAAGCTGTGCATTCAGTTTCTCTATGAGCCTTGATTGTATTATTATTGCCACAATTGTAAATGCAAAAGCAAAGGCAGGTATGAGAACCACAAGGAACCAAGAGGGTAGAGATATTGGATGCCAACAGTGAAACTCTGTAAGACATAAAAATGGATAATCATGGTGGCGAGTTCCTAAAGGACTGATTGCTAATATATCGCTTTGTTTATCTGTCCCATCTGCACTGCCATGTAAAATCCACATAATTTGCTTTGAACTGGATTATATGGCAGTGTAGACTAATATAATCCAGTTTAAAGCAGAAAATCTGAATTTTATATGGCAGTGTAGATGGGGCCTGGCAAACAAAGGGAGGTATTAGCATACTGGAGTGGAAGAGAGGATATCTGGAGAAATAATTAACATGGTTATTTACTTGCAACCAATTATTTTCAAAACTTTACACTTTAAAAATAATTGCCAAAATCTGATTAATGTTAGGCTGTGAAGAAGTATTGCAATATTTTGTCTAGGCCCCTTACGTGCGGAATCTATCAACAAATATAAATTGACAAGGTACAGATTAAGGTTTAGAAAAGAACTGCTAGAAGGAAGTCTACTAGAGTTTGATAGATGACTTGGAAAAACACACAGACAATATATGTGCTTTTACTTTCTATTTATTTAGGTTTGTTGGCAGATCTGAAGTGCCCACAACTACTTTTGTTAAAAAAAAAAAGGGGGGGGGGATTGGTAAAGTACTCAGTATTAACACATTCATTAATGAACTCCTAATTATTAGTATTCAATAGTAGGATCAGGACAACTGATAATAATAATAATAATGATAATAATAATAATAATAATAATGATAATAATCTATATAAATAAAAATGTAATGTTCGTTTGTGGTATTCACAGAACTCAAAACCCCCTGGATGAATTGGCACCAAATTTGGACGCAATACACCTAGCATCCCAATGTATGCCCTTCACTCAAAAAAATTGATTTTGTCATTTGGGAGTTGTAGTTGCTGGGATTTATAGTTCACCTACAATCAAAGCACATTCTGAACCCCACCAACGATGGAATTGAACCAAATGTGGCACACAGGACTCCCATGACCAACAGAAAACACAAGGGTTTGGTGGGCATTGACCTTGAGTTTGGGAGTTGTAGTTCACCTACATCCAGGATCTGGGCCAAACTTGGCACGAATACTCCATATGCCCAAATATGAACACAGATGGAGTTTGGGGAAATAGACCTTGACATTTGGGAGTTGTAGTTGCTGGGATTTATAGTTCACCAACAATCAAAGAGCATACTGAACCTCACCAATTACAGAATTGGGGCAAACTTCCCACACAGAATCCCCATGAGCAACAGAAAATACTTCAGGCCATCCGGTCCCAACTGCCTTCACCGGGGCAAGAAAACATAATTAAAGCCCTCCTGACAAAGAGCCATCCAGCCATAGATATAGATTGATAGATATGATTCACAGACACATATATATGGATATGACAGATGCAGTATCATAGATTTCAAAGGGACCTCTAAAGAAGGACAATTATATGTTGCATATTCCAGAGTACGCAAACCAGACAATCTCCACATCAACACTGACAAAAAACAGCAAGAAATACTGTTTACCCACAAGCATCAAGATATTACATATATTAGAAATCAACACCTTCTCATTATTTTCCAGATCACCAGACTGGGCCACAGCAACGCATGGCAGGGGACAGCTAGTAGTAGTAGTAATAATAATAGTAACAACACTATTTATATTCTGCCCTTCTCATCCCGAAAGGGACTCAGGGCAGATCACAGTACATATACATGGCAAACATCCAATGCCGCTTTGTATAGTCAATACACAGACAGGCAGAACAGAAGGAGGTAGTTTGTTTCAGTTGTTTTTGGTGCCATGGAAGTTGGACTCGAGTCCAGGGGGTGCTGTTGCTCTATCCTCTATGACGAAGAGCTGTCAGGACTTCCTTTTGGTTGCCCATCATTTTCTGATCTTCTTTCTTTATGGCATCGGAAAACACCTCCTCCACTTTTAGCATTACCAAACTTCTCTAATCACAGCTAAAGCTGTTTTCGAATTGCTTAGGTAAACAATGAGATAGGCTGACAGTTGGCAGCTCACGGCAACCTGGGGCTTTGAACTTGCAACCTTTTGAAAGCATTAACACAGCTGATGATTTACCAGCTGTGCTAAACCTCTGGCCTAATTCTGATGTGAACCTTCCCATTATTTCATTCTCATTCTCATAAGCAAGAACAAATAATTTCAAGACTTTTACAAGGATTTTGAACTTTCCATAATTTTGCACACTTGGGGGAAAAAAGTAAAGGTAAAGGTTTCCCCTGACATTAAATCTAGTTGTGTCTGACTCAGAGGGGCGGTGACCATCTCTATTTCTAAGCCAAATACTATAGCTAGCATTGTCCGTAGACACCTCCAAGGTCATTCCCACAGAAGCAGTACCTATTCATCTACTCACATTTGCATATTTTTATTTATTATTATTTATTTACATTATTTCTATCCTGCCCATATTAGCCCGAACTGCTAGGTTGGCAGAAGTTGAGACTTACAGTAAGAACTCACCCTGTTCCCTGGATGTGAACAGTTCAACAGCTCAGTGTTTTAACCTGCTGCGCCACCAGGGGGCACTTGTGAAAGCTTTGCTGGAAATATGTTTTTGTGGAAAATCCAAATGTGTTTCGAAGAAAGGCATATATTTTGTGCAAAGCACATATTTTTTTGTGTGCAAATGACTTTTGTATAAAGAGAGGCTTGGGAGTGTTTTCTGAAAAGCTTGAGATATAAAATAACTTACAATAAGAGACCATTCTCTCAGGCGGAATCTACACTGCCATGTCATAAAGTTTCGCAATGCAGAATGACAGCTTTGAATTGGATTATGCGAGTCTACACTGCCCCATAATTCAGTTCAATGCAGTTAATCTGAAACCAGATTTTTTTTTGTGTCAGGAGCGACTTGAGAAACTGCAAGTCGCTTCTGGTGTGAGAGAATTGGCTGTCTACAAGGACGTTGCCCAGAGGACGCCCGGATGATTTGATGTTTTTATCATCCTTGTGGGAGGCTTCTCTCATGTTCCCGCATGAGGAGCTGGAGCTGATAGAGGGAGCTCATCTGCCTCTCCCCAGATTCGAACCTGCGACCTGTCGGTCTTCAGTCCTGTCGGCACAGGGGTTTAACCCACTGCGCCACCGGGGGCGCAGATGATATGGTAGTGTAGATCCAGCCTTAGTGGATTATCTCAATTTATTCATGCATCATTCCCATTAAGAACAAGACAATGTGTTGCTATAGTTTACATTCCTATCAGAAAGGAAATAATATTCCTTCTTCTACTTCCTCTATAAGTGCTCTTCTCAGAACAGACATATTATCAAGCAGGTGTAAAAAAGTACTCACAACAAGATATATTATTAAAATATCTTAATTTCCTAATTTATTTCTTCATTCTTTCACTGTTTCCCCACAAGATTATAACTGAAGTGGTTCACAATAAATCAGATGAGCAATAAGTGTGGCCATTCAACATAATGAATATCTATATAAATATATATATACAAAATTTAAATCTAAACAAAATATTTAAATCTTTTTACAGCACTATGAAAACTCTTTCTAAATATTGGTACTCTCAAAGTGCAGGTCTGCAATTTTGCTGTGAATTCCTCCCCCCCCCCCCCCACTCCCGAAGTATGCAATGGTATCTTTAGGTCTGTACTGGGGTGATAGCCTAGTGATATCACTGGAAAAATTGCATGGGTTTGACCAAGCAATCCAGCATTACTGGTCTTACAAAATACTAAGCCTTGCGAAAAACAAATGCCTTGTAAATTCAATAGTTTACCTGCACTCTCAACTGAAAACATCCCGAGGCAGAGAATCAGAATGAACAGCAAACTGAGCAATTTCAACACATTCATGTTTCCACCCGATTATGGACTATCTCGGAAGAAACCTGTGCAGCACCAGTGAAAATAATGCCTTTTTATTTATATAACACATCAAACATGAGTTATGATTGCGGATGGGAATCCATTCCTCCTTTATACAGCCTTACTGATAAGAAAACTGGCAACGGCCACTCCCACATTCAATGGTGGCCATTTGCCAAATATGTTGCCATAAAACATAAGAGGGGACACATGACGGCAGGGACTGATTTGAGATTTAAAGCTGGGAATTTTTGAACTAGTATGTCTTGCTTGATGTTATGATATCCCCAGCTCTAATAAAGATGAGGAAAGAGGGGTTCTCATAAGCAAAACAAGATTAATAATAATAATTTTCCTTCTAACCCGCACCTCTCTCCCCGAAGAGACTCTGGGCACCTTCCAAACGTAATGCAAACAAGGCAAACATTCAATGCCATAAAAGTATAAACATTTACACAGAGATTAACTCTGTGATTCTGTTTGGAGGCTTTTATTCAATTCAGAGAGCAAGTCCAACTAGTTTACTCGTGCGAAAGAGTTGTCTCCTATGGAGCAAAAGCTGTCCATGTCTACAGGTTAAATGCCAGATGTCATCTCACTCATTTTGGAGATGGAGGAATTTGTTGCTGTGTTACTTTAAGTCATTTCCAGCTTATGGTGAACCTAAGGTGAAGCCTTTGACTGTGTGACTGCGCAAGTGGCGCCACTATGTGTAGAACTATTAGTTGCAAGATTTAAACTGTTGTATCATGCTTAATCCTGCCTTTTTACCTGCTTATGTATAGTTGGATTGATTGGTTATTTATAGCTGTCAATCAATGTTGTTTGCACCAGTTGAATTGCTTTCTCAGCTCAATTGTTTGGCCCCACCTCTTCCTGGAGGAGGGGAGTGCTTCCTTTCTCTCATTCTGCCATCCCAGTTTCTATCAGATGGACGTGAGTAAGAGACTTGACTCTAAAAGACTCTAATTAAATTACCTCTCAGCACCAATTCTGGGGTTTTTACCCTTGAGACTTATGCTTCATGTTCAGACCAACCTGAACGACGTTGGGAAGTCTCAAGCGCCTTCAAACTGGTTCTTTTGGCACCAGAGGAAGATCCTGAGTCTTCAAACATAGGCCATTTGAACTGGGGTTGTGGACTGCTCCGGCATTCACAGCCATTGAAAAAGAGGAAGCTTGGAAAGGCTTCAAACTCCTTGGACCCAGGACTAACTGAGACTGTAACGTATATTTTCGTTCACCACTCTGAAGCTTCCAGCTTACTGCTTTGAAGAAATAACTCTTTGTGATCAATAAATCTTATTTTGAGTTATTTACCAAGTGTTTTGGGTCTTTGGGAGTTCCAGTTTCCTAAAGGAGGGCAAGAAGCAATCCCCTGGGGAAAGATGTCACGTCCATGCCTATTTCAATAAGAGCTATAGCCCCAAGGCGCGACGGCACAGACTGTGTGGATCATAATAAATTGTGGCAAGTTCTTGGTGGCATGGGGACACCAAGCCACCTTGTCTCTCTCCTGAGGAATCTGTGTAAGGACCAAGTAGCAACAGTAAGAACTGACCATGGAACAACAGACTGGTTCAAGATTGGGAAAGGCGTACGGCAGGGTTGTATACTCTCACCCAACCTATTCAACTTGTATGCAGAACACATCATGCGATGTGCGGGGCTTGACAAATGCAAGGCTGGGGTTAAAAATTGCTGGAAGAAACATTAACAACCTTAGATATGCAGATGATACCACTTTGATGGCCGAAAGTGAGGAGGAGCTGAGGAGCCTTCTAATCAAGGTGAACAAAGAAAGTGCAAAAGCTGGGTTGCAGTTAAACATTAAAAAAACCCCAAGATTATGGCAACAAGACTGATTGATAACTGGCAAATAAAGAAAACATGGAGGCAGTGACAGACTTTGTATTTCTAGGTGCAAAGATTACTGCAGATGCAGACTGCAGCCAGGAAATAAGAAGATGTTTACTTCTTGGGAGGAGAGCAATGACCAATCTCGATAAAATAATGAAGAGTAGAGACATCACACTGGCAACCAAGATCCGCATAGTTAAAGCAATGGTATTCCCCATAGTAACCTACGGATGTGAGAGCTGGACCATAAGGAAGGCTGAGCGAAGGGAGATAGACGCTTTTGAACTGTGGTGTTGGAGGAAAGTTCTGAGAGTGCCTTGGACTGCGAGAAGATCTAATCAGTCCATACTTCAGGAAATAAAGCCCGACTGCTCATTGGAGGGAAGGATAGTAGAGGCAAAGATGAAGTACTTTGGCCACATCATGAGAAGAAAGGAAAGCTTAGAGAAGAGAACAATGCTGGGGGAAATGGAAGCAAAAAGGAAGAGGGGCCGACCAAGGGCAAGATGAATGGATGGCATCCTTGAAGTGACTGGCTTGACCTTGAAGGAGCTGGGAGTGGTGACGGCCGACAGGGAGCTCTGACGTGGGCTGGTCCATGAGGTCACGAAGAATCGGAAGTGACTGTTTCTTGTCCCCTCCAGTTGCGAAGGAGGCAGGACCAAGAGCAGAGCCTCCCTAGATGATCTTAAACTCCTAAATGGTTCATAGGGAGAGATACATTCGGACAGGTAAGCTGGGCCAGAACTGTTTAGGGCTTTATAGGCTAAGGCCAGCACTTTGAATTGTGCTCAGTAGCAAACTGGCAGCCAGTGGAGTTGCATAACAAGGGAATGGTATGCTCCTTAAACTAAAGGATACACTCTTTTTGTGGTGTGCACAAAACATGGACCCTTTTCGTTTAGTGTAGGTAAACCTGGGTACAGAGATCAACTCATACAATACAACGTGCTCTCTAGATGTGTGGATTATTGAAGCTAAATCATGGGATTCCAACACAGCATTATAAAGCTGGAGTTTATGATTAACAACCACATACCTGAAGGAAGGAGTCTTTGCAAATTGATCTTGGAAGAAGGAAACAGCAACAAAAGTAAAGGAATGCAGTCACATCAGAGTGGTACCAAAGTCCAGGCACAATGCGCAATACATAATCTTATTGCCTTTATGTTTAAACAATGTCCAAATGTATCACACCTTTGTTTTTTACCAGAAGGGAAGGGACAACCCCAAACAAAAGCCTCCTTTGTGCCATAGCTTAAATCAGTGTCACCAAGACAACTTACAATCAGGGCTTTGTGGGGGTGGGGGGATAGCCTGACTCCCTTGAGTCGCCACAGGGAGAATTCAATCCCTGTCCAGCTCTATCAATTTTCTTGCATGTGTAGTTCGTTCTGCACCTTCCCCTCTTTCTGTGGCCAACCTTCCCTCCCTCTTTCTCTCCTTTCCATCTTTCCTTCGCTCCCTCTTTCCTTCCTTCCATTTTTTCTTTCCTTCTCTCCTTCCTGCCTTCTCTACCTCTTTCCTTTCCCCTTTTTCTTTTCCTTCCCTTTCTCTTCCTTTCTTCTCTACCTTTCCTTCCTTCCTTCCATTTTTGATTCCATCCATATTTCTTTCCTTCTCTACCTTTTTCCTTCCTTTCCTTTTTTCTTACTTTCCCATCCTTCCTTCTCTACCTCTTTCCTTCCCTTTTTCTTTTCATCCCTTTTTCTCCTTTCTGCTCTACCTCTTTCCTTCCTTCCTTCACTCTTTGCTTCCATGCTTTCTTTTCTTTCCTTCTTTTTCTTCCTTCTTTCTCTCCTTTCCCCTCTCTTCCTTCCCCCCTCCCCCATATTGTCATTTAGCTTTTCCATCATTTAGCTTTTTGGGGTGTCCTTTCTGTTTTATTGGGGGGGCGGGCGTTATGGTCATTCATTGGTCTGTTAGGGGTATAGTGTCCAAATTTCGTGTCAGTTCATCCAGTGGTGTTTGAGTTATGTTAATCCCACAAACGAACATTACTTTTTATTTATATAGATATATAAATTACAAAAAGCCCTTTCTTTGCATTCACCTTTCACTGACTCACTTATCCCCCTTCCCTACCTTCCGGCTTGTGTGTATTCCTGCCCCAATTCACCTGGCTTGTGTGTGTGTGCTCCTTCTTTCACACAAGACCAAGTCTATTCCCCCCCCCTCCAATATAAAAATGTAAATAACTAGAAATATATATTAAAATTGAACATTTCCTATAAATTGTGAGACGTTGAACAGTTGGCAGGAATGATGCCTTACTGCTGGATAAATTTCAGGCGATACGTTGTTTTTTTTAAAAGATTTGATTTCTAGAAACATTAATAATTTCCTAAAAATCAGTTGATGACCCTAATGTTCTGAAACTTGATGAGCTTGCATGGTAAATACATCCTCCAAGTGCGATCATTTATGTCCCAATAACCCTAAAAATGACAGAAAGGAGAGCCTCAGAAGTTCCTCCATTGCTGCCAATGGGCTGGATCTTCCCGAAGTGAAAACAGATCTTCCAGCTGTATTTCACCCTCCCAAATTCGGGAAGCTCCTGAACTGAATGGGGGGGGGGGGGCAGCCAAAAATTGGACACCGAAAGAAGCACAGGGTTTACTCGAATTGCACACCCCAACTGGATAGTGTTGTATATCTCTAATCTCCCTGATAAGTTAACTGGAAGAGTGAAAATGTTCAGAACACCTCTGCCATAGGATTACCGTCAGGTTTTACAATGTATTGTAATGTAATATAGCTGAGTCATGCACTGCTAATAGGCTTCTATTAGAAATGCTGAGTAATGCATTAGAACTTCCTTTGGGGAATGTGTTCTGGCCTAGTCCAGGTGATTGTGAATGATGTATACCTGGGTCTGAGTTAAGTTAATGAATTGGGAACCAATCAGAGATTGCTATGTGTAATTGTATAGAACTGTATATAAGGAAGTCATGTAGAGTGTATACTCTCTCCTTGTGCTGTGATTCTGTTCGTCGAAGGCTCTATGTAATTGATTAAAAGAACCTGTCTGCTAAGACAAGATATAACTGTGTGCTGTGGTAAGTTTGTAATGTCATCTAGACTGGGGGAAAACAATAGTAAAACTGACAATGGCCGGGCATGTGCTCAAGTGTCTGTAAAAGAGTTCCAGAGTGACTGCAGGCTGTGGGAGCAGTTGACTGAAAATACTGTGCAGGAAGAAACTACTGGAAAGCGCTGAAGTTGTGCAACTGATCTGCTGCTGAATTGTGAAATTAATCTCAACATTAGAGTATCATTTTATCTAGGCTTTTAACATCTCAAAGAAAACAAGACTGATAAATTGTTGGGCTAAGATTTTATTGGTTCAAGAACTGATCCATGTACAGACTTTAAGAGATGGAAGAATAATTATTAAATTGCAGTCATTAAACAGATAAATGCCACAGCATTTAGGAGGCTTCCACAATTTTCAAACAACCTTTATTTGACCTGACAAATTAATGTTTTCCCAGCTTTAAAAATACTGCAGTTGTAAAAGTGTGATTCTTAAATAACAGGGAGATCCTAACTAAACATCTTTGGAAATCGCTGCTCTGTTGTTTGGGGAATGGTGCTGTTTACTTCCCAGGATGAAATCAAAGAAAAATTGTAAGTTCATTGATAGCATTTGGAATTGGGCACAGAGGGGGAAGCTTCATTCAAAGACAAAGCTGTGTCCCAGTGTGGATGTGAACCAAAATGGGAGGTCTGGAGGCGCCAAAAGAATTCATTTTTTTTGTTTGCTCTGCCATTTGTGATATTAACTCCATCACCTGTAGTTTATTGCACTTAAATACTGTTTCTGCAATTTTTTGGAAGGCAAGTTGCACAGGCATGATTGTAGCAAACCCAACATGGCAGAAAAACTATCTGGCTGACTGACTCCTTATTTTTCTGCTTACATGCAAAGAAGGCCCTACACAATTATCCCTTCAGAGCGCTTCTTTATTAGCAATTATTTTTCATCAAGCACAGAGGTGCTACATTCAGTTACGATGAAAAAATTGGACTAATTAGGTGTACCACTTCTTGAATTCACATTGGCTTTGACGCTTTGCACTTTCTGACTGGTGCTTTATGTGAAGTAGGTTGTAGCACTGCACAGACTTTCACCTTTCTGGAGGAAGGAATAAAATGTACATCTGCTACAAACATAATTACATTGAAATGAACTTTGCTCCCATATTAAAAATAAAGCGCAAGGAGGTGAAAAGTGACTGAGTCGCATGCCAACAATCCTGTTTCCGCTCAGCTCTTTTAAAAATTAAACAGGAAACTAACAGTCAAGTCACATTATACTGAAAACACCTGAAAGCTCATGTTGAAGTGCTTAAAACATCTGACTCCTACATGAAAGCTGCTTGTACACAACAATAGTTTTATTCGATATTATGCACTAAGCAGACAAGCCAAAGTGTTTGATGACCCATCATTACAGCCTGCCAGAAGATGCTGCCCTTTACTTCTTCTTCATGCCACCCCCACCAGCAAGCATGGTGGCCACCCTGATGAAGATGTTGAGAGTATCCATATAAATGCCCATACATCTGAAACACAAAAGGAAGACTTTTCAATAAGAAAAATAACAAGTAACTTTTATTGTGACTCTATGTGTAATTAATTTGACCAATACAGAATAGGATGATGCTGTGAAATGACCAACGAGTCCTCTCATTGTTCAGCTAAAACACATTTGTAAAACTCATAAACAATATTGTGACAATTGTGACGACTGACCATTGTAATTTTGACTGCATTTTGCTATTTTAATATTTTAGTTTAATATGTAATATGATGTTTTTAATGACTGTTTGTGCTATTACTGTTGGAAACTGGCCCGAGTCCCTCGACAGAGGTGAGAAGATTGGTATACAAAATTGCTAAATAAATAAATAAATAAATAAATTTAATGTATTGTAGAAGGTTTTCATGGGCAGAATCACTGGGTTGTTGTAGGTTTTTTCAGGCTATATGGTCATGTTCTAGAGGCATTTTCTCCTGATGTTTCGCCTGCATCTATGGCAAGCATCCTCGGAGGTAGTGAGGTCTGTTGGAACTAGGAAAATGGGTTTATATATCTGTGGAATGTCCAGGGTGGGACAAAGGACTCTTGTCTGTTGGAGCTAGGTATGAATGTTTCAACTGACCACCTTGATTAGCATTTGATGGCCTGGCAGTTGATTGGTGGGGCTTGTTGACCATAGCAGAGCACCTGACGAACCAACCTGGACACAGCATATTATTTGAGAACACAGAAATGCTGGACCACTCTAACAACCACCATGTCAGACTACACAGAGAAGCCATTGAAATCCACAAGCATGTGGACAATTTCAACAGAAAGGAGGAAACCATGAAAATGAACAAAATCTGGCTACCAGTATTAAAAAACTCAACAGCAAAACAACAGAGAGGAAACAATCAGGCACATCTAATCACCTCTCAACAAAAGATTGCCCCAGGCACCAACAAGCCACACCAAACAACTGCAAGGCCATCAAATGCTAATCAAGGTGGTCAGTTGAAACATTCACACCTAGCTCCAACGGACAAGTGTTCTTTGTCCCACCCAGGTCATTCCAGATATATAAACCCTTTTTCCTAGTTCCAACAGACCTCACTACCTCTGAGGATGTTTGCCTAGATTCAGGCAAAACGTCAGGAGGGAATGCCTCTAGACCATGGCCATATAGCCCGAAAAAACCTACAACAACCCAATATTAGTTTAGGTTAACTTTTAATAGCCATTACACCCACGGGCACGTCCTTCTTTAGCTACCAACCCTCACAAAACCTCCTTGCTTAGATGTGTGAATTTTGTTCCTACTCAACCTGGCCACTTGAGTAAATCTAGGCTTGTCGACAATCACACACAATGTTTTACTATTGTTAACTGAAAACATTCTAACGTTTTATCTACTCTCATTGTCCTCCCAACTTTAAGCAACTTTAAGATCTACTACTAGAAGTCTGTGGTTTCACTCCTTGCTAACTTGGAGGCAAACACCAATCAGTTCAGAAAGGGGTTGGAAGCAGGATGAGGCCCACAATATTAACTTTACTCTTAAACCGATCTTATATTTTTGTGTTAAGCTTAGCATGAGAAAACACTTACGAGTTGATGGGGTCATACTTCTGCAGTCCTACACCATACATTGGTAGAGTTTCTGCACGTTTCACAACTTTCTGAGTATCGTAGAGCAGGAACAAACTAAAAAGAACCAATCCACCATAAACAGCCACAGAATAAAGGCCTGCACCAAGGGCAGATGTTGGAGGAAGGAACATGGATCCTGGAAAACACATATATGGACCATCAAGAACAAATATGTGACATCAATACACACTTATACCATGTTTTCACTGAGTTTTCAATCGCCACAGTTGCCAGAGCAATCATTTTTTGTGACGTGCTGATGTGCAATTCTCAGTCATCAGTAGTTATATAAAGGACTTGAGTGTATGTGGGTTTGGTTTCAGTGGCGAGTGCTGGAGAAAAATCCCATGGATATCAAGGGTCACCTGTACTTAGATGAACCTCCACTTTGTCTTTTGTCTACTTTTTATACATCAATGCAAGGGATGAAAAAAAAGGAAGGGCTGTATAAAAAAAAACAATTCTAGTTTCAAATCAGCCAACTGGCTGAGGTAATTGGCTCTAGTGGATCTACCTTAATACATGCCTGGAAACTTCAAATCATAATAGAGTATGACTACATGAAACTTATGTACCATATACAATTATATATTGACTTACAAGTTTAAGTCATCCTGTGACAGAACTCTTAACTCAAATTGCTTTGCTCTTATGTCAAAACAAATTTTCCCATTGAAATGAAATTTAAATGCTACTAATCCGTTCTAACCCCCCAAAAACTATACCAATTTTTGGTTATGTTTTTAAATTTAAAAAATTTAAAAAATGTACTTTATAAATAATAAATGTATAAAAATATGCGTAATAAAATATAATATAAAGAAATAAACTGGATTTATTAAGTGTAGAGTACATAAGTGAAGGAAATCTCTCTCAAGATTGGATGAGGGGGAGGATTGGAAGGTTATAAGTTTCCTTTTCCTGCTATGAGTGGGAAACTTCGGTAAAATTCTTCTGCAATGATCATTTAAAACACGGGTCCTCAAACTTTTTAAACATAGGGCCAGGTCACAGTCCCTCAAACTTTTGGAGGGCCGGATTATAATTTGAAAAAAACATGAATGAATTCCTATGCACACTGCACATATCTTGTTTGTAGTGCAAAAAACACTTTAAAACAATAAAATAATTAAAATGAAGAACAATTTTAACCAATATAAACTTATTAATATTTTAATGGGAAGTGTGGGCCTGCTTTTGGCTGGTGAAATAGTGTTGTTGTTGTGTGCTTTCAGGTCGTTTCAGACAGGTTGACCCTGAGCAAGGGCCGGGTAAATGACTTTGGAGGGCCGCATCCGCCCCCTGGGCCTTAGTTTGAGGACCCTTGATTTAAAATGACAGGTATCTGTGTAACTCGCCTAATTATCAGGATATAAGTTTACTGATGATAGATTCATGGCCCCTCACCTTTCCTACAATCTCTCCAAAGCTATGGGATTGTAGAAATAACAGCAAGGGCAAAGAGCTTTCCTGGATGTTCCCTTTAAAGCTCTGCTTAAGATGGCGGGTGTACTCTTGCAATAGCTCTGGTTTAGCTCTTAATTCAAATCTCAGCTTGCATGTCAAAGCAAAAAATCCACCAAACAATGGCTCATATCTCAAAAAACTTGTAAGTTGATTCACAAGGTTTCACTAAGTCAACCTCATCTATAAGTTAAGGATGGGGGCCAAAATTATGGGTTTTGATATGGCCCATGGATAAGTTGAGAGTCATTCCACAGAGGAGGGAAAGCACAAATGCCACTTCAAGGACCCAGCCATTCCTGGCTATCAGTGTTGGCACATTTTTCCATCCAGGCATTTAAAAAAACCCAGAAGCAACACTGTGATAGAGAGTAGAGAACTCAGTGCCATCTTTTAGCTTCTTCATTGAAATACTAAACATTCATCTTTTGCCTCTTTGCTCAGAGAAAGGGATGGTTCCCTTTTTGATATGAATTAAGGTACAATAATTAGTTTGACTCAAGGACAAATGAACCCAGGCTTTTTGGATCAATTTTTGACAAAAGCTTTTAGATTTATACATGTACATATACAGTATACATTCAAATGAACCATGAACATAAAGCAAACTCTTAACAGATTCTCTATTTACCGACAGAAGATGCAAGCACAAAGCCAAAGCCAACTCCCAAAGGTGCTCCCATGTTCAGAAACTTCTCACTTGGTGCACACATGGCCACAGTAGACAGACCACCTACGATTCCTGCTGTATACCAAGCAGCTCGGATGAGCAGGGGACCCCCCAGAAGAGTCATGGGAGCTACCACAGCACCCATAACACCTAAGTGAAGAAAAAGATGGTGTTTATTTACTTTAAGAACATACAAGGTTATTCTCAACTCTTTTTGCTTTTCTTTCATTCAGAGTAAGATTATATCATATGGGGCACTACAAAAAGGAAATCTGATGAAATGTTTGTCTTCAGAGGAGATGCTCTGCTTATGTGTGTAACCAGTATAATGTCCAAATTTTATGGGGATGTGCCAGAAAGCATTACTACATGTCCTCCAAAGGTTCCTGTCTTTAGAAGTTAGGTAAACTGGGACAACTTCTTCATGCAACCATGTTCCCATCTATTGATAATCAAAACACTCTTAAACTATCCCAGATTATTTTGCCACTCTTCGTTATGGGCTAGTTACAGCTAAATGGCATGAAACTAGGGAGTATTAAGACAAAATACTTAAAATTGAAATTCCAAGTTGTGCAACAGTGATCTCCAAGGAGACATAAAACTAAGATCGCAAACATGCATGTTAAATAAGAGAGGTTTTTTTTCCTTTTAATTCTCAAAGTCCTTCATGTGTATTATCTCAGTTATCCTCCCATGACAATTGTTAAAACAGAAAAACTATTAAAAGTGCAGGAGGAGAAAAAAAGTCCTACATCCTCCAGCACGATTATGCCTGAAGTGATATTGCAATCAGAACTAATCAAACAAGCGAATTTTCAATTCAGAGCACACACAATTATTCATTATATCACACCTCATACAATATGTCACTTATAATGTGATAAATGCTTTTGAAACAAGATACTTCATCAACCCAAATTAGTAGTCTGTATGCTAAACACAATTACACAATCATGCACAGAAAATTGTATAGCTTCGGGCACTAGTCCATCATCTTTTGGGATGCTATTATAAAGTGACCATCAACTTTTAAAATGCTTTCTTTGAGGACCCAAGGAAATACCACAGGAAAGGGGAAGCCTTTCCCCTTTGGGCCCTGGCCATTTTATATTTAAACTTTCTGGCACCTTATGGCATGTGTCTCCAAGTTCACGTTTGTCCACAATATATGGCCACAAATTTAACACTAGTGCAGGAAGAAACTATTATTATTATTATTATTATTATTATTATTATTATTATTATTTCATTTCTTACCCACCTCTCCTCATGACTCAAGGTGGGTTACAAAATAATTAAAACATACAAATACTGTAAAAGTCAGTATCATGTCCAGATAACCTGTTGCTGTGAATGCAGTGTAACAGAACAGAAAAAGCTCTTTCAACATCCCAAGAATAATATGTAAAGGCAACCAATTAGAATGGAAGAGCAATTCTACCCAAAATCAGGCCAAAGGGGTGAAACCATCTACTTAAATCTGATGGGGATCTACACCAAGAAGCTATTCAATCAATAGTTGAATAGTTGGCTGAAAGGGAAGAAAGGAGCCACCTCTCTTAGAATTATTATTTTTGTTATTCTGCAACCCAATTCCAGGGGTTCTGTATCTGCCAAGATGGGGGTGGAGGTGCCCAATATTTTAGAAAGCTCTCTTGGGCATATTTTTGATCATGCAAGTAGCTGTTAACTTTCAGTCCAATTTTTATTAGTGTTGACTATAAAAGATACATTTGACCAATGCAAATTCAAAATCTGACTGCATTAAGAAAGGCATTCAAGATAATATTGTTGACAAATTATATATTTTTAAAAATAATAATGAGAATTGCAAACTACATACCTGAATACAGCATCCAAGCTAGATGTTTAGGGACAGGGCTTTGCTCATAATCTATTGATCTAACCAACATCCCAACTCCAATCATTGCTGCAAAGGTTGCACCTATTGCCTGTAAAAGATTATTATTACAATTAAATCATTTTTACAGCTATTTGAGCATTATGCATTTTATTTATTCATTTATATCCCACCTTTTACCCAAAGCTAGGACTCAAAGCAGTTTATAAAATAACTATGTAAACAATTTTGCATACCATAGTTTAAAGTAAAGTGAATGGAAGCTGCTGTATATACAGCATTGTCTCTTTGAAGAGTTATTCGTGCATTTCATTTTCATTTAACTACATTACATTCCTATTATGTTCTACATTAAAGACAACATGCTACTAAATTATCAAGACTACCCTCTAGTGGACACAAGGAACCTGATTTGATTTCTTTTTCATATGAAAAAGACTTTCTTGACCATTATCTCTCCTAGGAAGCATTCCGTACTGCTGTTTAAGTTACTCCACAAATGGTTCGTTCACAACAGAAAATCCTGTCTCTTTCCCCCTCTGAAAACACTTTCTTACTTTCCAGGGGGCAGATTGTTCTGTTCGTAACTCTTCTGATAACAGCAGTGTAACAGCAAAAGGTCCAATGACACCAATGGATCTAGTCAATTTGGACTAGCAACTCAACTTACCATATTTTCTGGCATACAAGACAACTACATAATATGACCCCCAACTTTTCAAGATAAAATACAAAGTTAGGGATATACTTGCCATATAAGACTACCCCTCTTCCAACACTATGCCCATCTAGTTACAAGAAATCCAAAGTGCAAAACTGGTCAATGTGAGGAAGGGAGGAGGAGAAGAGTGCGGGGGGGGGGGGTGTCAGGCCGCATTGCAGCTCTCCTCCTGCCACCGCCTGGACCTGCTGGGAGTCGTAGTCCAGAGGCACTTCCTTGGGCCTAGGCAAGCCCAGTGACCTTTGGAGGAGAGCGGTGGGGGCAGAGCAGGACCTTGAAAGTAGAGTGGGGGGGACAGCCCAGTGGGTCATCACCCCCAGTTGGTCTTCATGGCAATGTGGCCCGCCAGTCCTCCTCCCTGCCACCCTCCCTCCGCCCTCCTCCTCCCTCTTCAGGCTACGCCACTAAGGGAGTTGGATTTTATTCTTTTCTTTTATTCTTACTATTTTTATTTTATACTGGCCGTATTAGACGACCCATAACTTTTCGTAAGATTTTCCACAGTTAAAAAGTTGTCACAGGGACAGGGCCTTCTCTGTGGTGGACCCCCGACTCTGGAACTCTCTTCCCAAGGACATCAGACAAGCCCCAATGTTGGCAGTCTTTAGGAAGAGCTTGAAGATGTGGTTGTTCCAGTGTGCCTTTCCAGAACAGGAAACTCCAAGCATCATGTCCCAAATGCACTTTATTAGAGATTTAAGATTGTCTGCACGCTGCACCTATCTCCAAAAACCTATCCATTTCACCTGGTCATGTCCAGAATTTTAAAATTTTTAATCATTACATTTGGCCAGGCCTTAGTTTTTAAATGCATCGTGGTGTTATTGTCTAATGGTTATTGCTATTGTTTTAATGTTTATTGCTTTGTTTTATGAGTTTATTTATTGTTGTATTTGTTATGCTGTTGTTTTACTGATGTATTGGGCCTTGGCCTCTTGTAAGCCGCACTGAGTCTTTCGGGAGATGTTAGTGGGGTATAAATAAAGGTTTATTATTATTATGCCGGAAAATATGGTATTTTTTTGGTAAGGGCTTATTCGTTAATTCTTAGAGTTTCTATCTTTAGTCAACAGTACTGCCTGATTGCAGCTTGAAATTTAGGGCAGTGAAAGTATGGCATGATGGCACATTCTGGTTAACGTGCTTGGAAAAGCCCTTCCCCTTTACAGTAACATGATAAATTCAAGTTGGGCCTACTACAGAATACTACTTTACTTCATCTCATCAGTTTTTCACTGATAAGCACATTAAAAAGATAATCTTCAAAGAAACTTTTAAAAAATGAAGGGTGAAAAGCAGTGGAACCTTTTAAGACCAAATACTTCAAGGTGAATCTTAAATTGTAATATTACAGATACCACCATTTCTGTCTCTCACCATCTTTCCTTTCTATAATGAATCTTAATGGCATAGCTACCTCTTTCTGAACTGTAAAAAGTAATAAAACTGTAGATCAGAGAAAAGTGATCTATTAAACCTGGGAAAAACTGTATTCATAGAATACCCTTTTTCTGGAATTATAATAGGACAACACCTCTTTCTGAATGGGCACAGGCCTTGGTAACAATACTATAATAGTTGATACTGCTGTCGAAGTAGTTGAAGATGTGCAAACCTATTTTTTATTCAGTGAGAGTACTTCATTCTATAATTAGTCACAGAGAAATATGTGCCTATTGATTTTCCATTTGAGATAGAAAAAGCTCTGGAATATGCTTACATTCCCTGGGCTTTGAGTCAAAGTCACAATTCACTTGAAGAATATTGCCTCAATATTGCTTTCTAAGGAGAAARTGTAATTCTAATCTATGATAGGCTGATTACTGCTCTTGAGATGTGTGGTCTGCTATATTTTACMCTGGCGTATATATCCGTTATTGACCAGGTGTCAGGGTTACTTCTCCCCCCCCCCCCCCCGCCTTTATCCCCTCTTTTTCTGTCCCTTATCTCACACCTTTTTCTCTTTCTTTTCTCTTCCGTCCTTCCTTCTCTTTTACTTTCCTTTTCTCCTCCTTCCCTTTCTCTCTTCTCCAGCTCTGAGAGGGCCTAACTCTCAACGTCTCCAGGGCAACATAGCTCTCCTTGTGGCTCTTTTCTCCCTTCCTCTCTTTCCCAGTAACATACAGAGAGCCATTTCACCTAGCAACATGCTTTGTGGTACAGAAAAATGGACAAGTAGATAGACATACTATGACTCTTATATATAGATAGGTAACACACAAAAAGGACCTTACCAACCAGGAACCCCTCATCATTAAACTCATGAGGGCAGGAGATCTACTGACTAGTACAGCAGACATGGCCGTCAAGCCAATGCTTCCTGCAAAATACATGTAGGTGGAGCGGATTCTGTCCTTCACATACTGCGGCCAAATCCTGGGAACAAAAGAAAATACAGGTGTGATATATTTTATGGAATCAATATGGTAACCAATTCAATTTTCAAATTGAAAGAAAAGGTCTCTAATGCCATTTTTTTTATCGTGTCAGGAGCGACTTGAGAAACTGCAAGTTGCTTCTGGTATGAGAGAATTGGCTGTCTACAAGGACATTGCCCAGGGGACGCCCGGATGATTTGATGTTTTTATCATCGTTGTGGGAGGCTTCTCTCATGTCCCCTCATGAGGAGCTGGAGCTGATAGAGGGAGCTCATCTGCCTCTCCCCAGATTCAAACCTGCGACCTGTTGGTCTTCAGTCCTGCCGGCATAGGGGTTTAACCCACTGCACCACCGGGGGCCATAATGCCATAGATTCATGATATAATTTAGCTTGGTGACCTCCCAGCTCCCCAACATAGCCTGTGTCATCTGGGAATACTGTGCAAATTAATATATTACTATCATGAAACAACAACAGACTGGCTCCAGACTCGGTTGTACACAGAACACAACTATTAAGTCAACAAAGAAAGTGAATCATGGTCAAGTCTCACTGGTTTAAAACATCCCTATTGAAATTAATGGGTCTTGCTACTCCCAAAATACAGTAAACTCCTATATCGGCAGGACCTGTACTCACAGATTCACCTACCGTCATTTGAAAAAATAAGTTCTCTCTAGAACTTTTCTATGGCATAGTTCCACCAGAATGTTATCTCTAGGTATTTTCTAGGCCCTTTTGTATGAGTCTACTGTTTGCTTCCACTAGAAGTTGTTCCTTTCAATAGGGTTTGCCACTAGCCATTGTTTTGCCGTAGAGGCTGCTAAGGCTCTAGTGGAATGAGCATGGATCTGAACAGGTAAGTCCAGTCCTGTGAGCTCATATGCCAGCCGGATGGTTGCAACAATCCAGGCTGACAACCTTTGGGTAGAAACCGGAAGACCCACAGAATCCCTACGGTATTTAACAAAAAGTCGTGGCGACCTCCGGAGTGGAGCCGTGCGGTGGACATAAAAAGCAAGAGCCCTCCGCACATCCAAAAGGTGCAAAGACCGCTCCAGGGGAGTAGAGGGATTGGAAAACAACGTTGGAAGAACAATGTCCTGAGACATATGAAACTGAGATGCTGCCTTAGGCAAAAAAGAAATGTCCGTGCGAAGCACAACCTTATCTTTATGAAATCTGAGGTAGGGAGTGTCGACTCGAAGAGCCGTAAGCTCGCTAGCACGACGAGCAGAAGTAATAGCCACTAAAAATGCCGTTTTCCAAGATAGATGGGCCATGTCAGAAGTGGACATGGGCTCAAACGGTGGCCGTCCAAGGGCAGAAAGAACAACCTCTAACCTCCAAGAGGGGGGCACAGGTCGGACCTGCGGCCGAAAATTACTAAAGCCCTGCAAAAACCGTCGTACAAGAGGATCGGCAAAAGGGGAGGGAAGCAAATATTGTCTGCGAAACGAAGCAATAGCTGCCAAATACACCTTCAGGGAAGACAAAGAGAGTCCTGAGTCTGACAACGAAACCAAAAAATCAAGGAGGAGAGAGGTCGAAGCAGACAGAGGCGGGACCCCATGCTGCTGTGAAAAACTGCAAAAACGACGCCACTTACAGAGGTAAGAATGCTTAGTGGCAGGTCTCAAGGCAAGGTCCAAAATATCCTTCACTGATTGAGAGAGGGTTGAGGTTGGATCCGCCATGCCGTCAGACGCAACTGAGTGATCTGGGAGTACGGGACTGGGCTGTCGTTCACAGTCAACAAATCCGGTCTGAGTGGCAACTGAATGTAATTGTTGCCTGCAAGCTGAAGAAGAGTGGCAAACCAAGGCTGGCGGGGCCACCATGGAGTGATGAGAATACAGTCCACTTGCTCTGCCTGAAGACGGGACACCACTCTGGAAAGCAGGGGCAGAGGTGGAAAAATATACAGAAGAGCAGATGTCCAATTCAGGAGGAAAGCATCTCCTAAACATCCCGTCTGGTGGTTGTAAGGAAGCCGTGCTCCGAAGAACTGGCATTTCGTGTTGGCGGGAGAGGCAAACAAATCCACCAGAGGAGTTTGCCATCTGAGAAAAAGTTGCTGGACCTGGAATGGATGCAGGGACCATTCGTGGTCGGTATAAACGGTCCGGCTGAGAGAGTCGGCAAGAGAGTTGTCGACACCAGGAACATGAACAGCTGAGATGGAGATATTGTTGGTTACGCACCAATTCCAAATCCTCAGGGTGAGAAAAAGAAGAGCCTGAGAGCGCGTTCCTCCCTGCTTGTTGATGTAGAAGACCACCGTAGTATTGTCGGTGGTCAGCTGAATAACACAGCCTGTGAGCAGGTGGCTGAAGGAATGAAGTGCCTTCTCTACTGCCAGCAGTTCTAGATAGTTGATATGCTTGGTCCCCTCTGCTGCAGTCCAAGGGCCGTGGCTGGTGAAGTCCTCGAGATGAGCACCCCATCCCAGAAGTGAGGCATCTGTAGTCAGGATGATGGAGGGTTTTGGAGGTTGAAAAGGCACCCCCACACAAAGGTTGGACCGATGAGTCCACCAATCCAGAGACTGGCGCACAGAAAAAGGGACGACCAAACGTCTGCCGGGACTGTCGACCAAGGGACGAAATGTCCTGAGAAACCAACTCTGTAGAGGCCGAAGGCGCAGACGAGCCAAGGGAGTCACAGCCGTTGTGGAGGACATGTGCCCTAGAAGACACTGAATGTCTCTTGCGCGGACCGAAGACTTGCGCATGATCCGAAGGGCCAACGTGCGGAGGGTTCGAAACCTGTCGTCTGGTAGGTAAGCTCTGGACTGCTGAGAGTTGAGAACTGCTCCAATAAACTGGGTGACTTGTGTTGGTTGAAGATGAGATTTCTCCTCGTTGATAATTAAACCCAGATTCTGCAATAATGACAAAGTAAACTGGATGGTGTCTTGTAACTGGGCAGCGGTCTTAACCGACCAGCAACCAGTCATCTATATAAGGATAGACAACGATACCACGTGACCGAAGATAAGCTGCCACCACCGACATTACCTTAGTAAACACCCTGGGGGCTGTGGAAATGCCAAAAGGTAAAATTCGGAACGAAAAAGCCTGGCCATTGGTGGAAAAAGACAAAAATCTATGATGGCGCGCCCTAATGGCGACATGAAAATAAGCATCCTTCAAATCGATACTAGCAAACCAGGCATCTTTAGGCAGGAGGGGAAGGATGGTTGTCAACATTACCATCCGAAATCTACGATATATAATATAGGCATTAAGACATCTCAGGTCTAGAATAGGACGAAGTCCTCCATCCTTTTTGGATACCAAAAAATATTTGGAAAAAAAGGAAACAGAAAACATAGAAGGAGGTAAGGGTGCTATCGCTCCCTTCTCCAACAAAGTAAGGACCTCCTGCCACAAAACAGAGGAATGAGAGGTAATCCCCACAGGGGGTTCTTCAAAAAATTCAATGGCATAACCATGCTCAATGATTTCCAATACCCAGGAATCAGAAGTGATAGCACGCCAAGCGTCCAAATATGGCGCCAGACGAGTTCCAAAAACAGGAGAGAAGGGTGCATTATCTACGCCAAGTGAAGAAAGGGAAGAACCGCCACCAAGAGAGGGAGGGACATGAGCGTCAAAAACGACGCCGACCCTGGTCCTGTTGCTTCCCTTTAGCCTGTTTACTCCCTTTGAATGGTTGGGAATTACGTTTGCTTGCAGGAGCAGGAAATCTAGGGTTTTGGCCCTGCAAAGGTCTAAAAGGAGTAGGCCATAAAGGCTGACAATACAAAGGCTGAGGAGCTGGCCACCTATATCTAAACTGAGTAGGGGGCTTAGATGAAAAACCAAAATCCTGTGCAGCAACACGACTCTTCTGCGTACTCTTTAACTGAGCATCAGTCTCAGGATGAAAGAGACTATCCTGTGACATAGGCAACTCCTCCGCCATAGATCGTCCTTCCTCAGACAGTGTAGAGGACCGCAGCCAGGCATGTCGTCGAAGAGCTGTTGCAGCTGCAAACATCCTACTTGCTGTATCAGCACTATGTTTGCCCATATTCTTTTGACGGTGAGCCAAAATCAAGCCTTCCTGACACAAAGTCTTAGGAAGTTGCTGGTGCTCTTGGGGAAGGAAATCCAAATAAGGGGTTAAAGTGTTCCACAAAAAAGACTGATATTCCCCCATATACGCCTGATAATGAGCCATGCGAGTAATCAAGCTGGCTGCAGAATGAATCTTCTTGCCACAACCATCCATCTTCCTGCCCTCCACGTCAGGAGGAGCAGATTGAAGTCTTTTGGATTTTTTAGGCTGCACCACCTTTACAACAACAGAGTTAGGCTGCAAAGGTCTAGTCAACCATTCCGCAGAGGAAGTATCCACGCGATAAAGAGTATTGACTTTCTTTGACACTGGAGGCACAGAAGCTGGTGGCCCTTTTTGAGTCTTAGCCAGCTTCAACAAATAATTAAGTGCAGGCAAAACAGTAGGAGGTGATTGCTCATTCTGTTGATCAGCAGGAAAAAGTAAATCATCAACAGGTTCATCTGATGAAGAAACAGCAGGCAACTGCAGGGAATGAGCCAAACGCAAAATTAAGGAAGCAAATGAAGAAGCCTCTTCTAAAGCAGAAGTTGGAAAGGAGAAATCCTCCTGAGCAGAAAGCAAATCCTGATCCTCAGAAGAATCAGAATCACAGTCAGTCATTAATAGGCTCATTAGTTGCCCTGGAAACAGGAAGGAAGCTCCTATTAACAGGTTGGATCCCAGGAGCCTGAAATCCCTGAGGGACATGAGAAGGAATTGGGGGATGGGGCACAAAATACCAACCCCCTTGCTGAGCACCAGGCCAAGGTGTCAGAGGGGAGGGAAAATAAGAGGAAGGAGGAAACCCAGGCAACAGCTGGCGTGAGTCTGAATAGGGAGGGCAACCCGAGGGGCCCTCCATGGGATCATCTTCCAAGGGCTGAGTCCCAACGGAGCGGCAAGCCATCGCTCGGCCAGGCGGCGTGGCTGCCGAGGGAATAAGAGGCTCAGGCATCTGAGTGGGAGGGGGAGCCTCTCTTACCGGCTGAGGAGGAAGGAAAGGCAAGGGAACAGAAGGACGCGAGTCCTGTCGGCCCGACAGGCTCTGCCCCTCCTCAATATCGCTCGCCGGAAGCCGCTTGGTCTTCCGGCGGCATTTAGAAGGTGCCGGCTCCGCCTCCTCTCTAGCGGCTGCTGGGGTGGCGGAGGGCCGTTTCGCAGGTTTTTTCCCTGCTTGAGAAGAAGGAGCTGCAGGGAGAGGGAGAGCTTCCCCCACTGCTACAGCAGCCGTATCAAGACGCACGGCTGCCTGCGCTTCAGAAGACGCGGCGCCGGCACGAGAGGAAACAGATGGCTCTGCTCGCCGGCAGAGCACACAAAGGGGATGGGGGTCCCCTTGAGGCAATTTACCCCCACATTTAAGGCATTTAATAGCCAAAGGGGCAGACATACTGGTCCTGATAGTCCAAATTAGAGGAAAAAAATCCTAAGGAGTCCCAAGCAAAAAAAAATGGAGACAAAGTAATCCGATGTTCTTGCTTTCACGGACGAAAAGAACTGAGGCTCCAAGCCCCGCTGCCTGGCTTTATTGGGAGGAAATGGGCGGGCTTGGAGTCCCTAATTGCATAAAGCTTTCAAGAAAGATCCGATTCAGCTGCGTGGACGCAGAGAAGTACCACAGGTGTGGATTTCACAGCACCACGCAGAAAAACTTCAGTGTCTACTGTATGAACTGTATATACATCAATAAGTCTAGAAATTTTAGTCAAAAATTTGACCCAAAAAACCTAGATTGATTTATCTATGGGCCAATGTAAATGCTGCACCCTTACTCTTATCCAAAAAAGAACCATCTCCTTTTTTGAGTAGAGTAGCAGAAGGACTTTTTAAATGTCTAAGTGAGAAAATGGCCATGAGAGCGCTGGTGCTTTCCCCTTTCTGTGGAATAACCGTCAACTTCTCCAAAGATCATATCAAAATGCATACTTTTGGGCTCCAAACCTGTCCTCAACATATAGAGATGAGGTAAATTATACATGAATATACACAATATTTCTGCAGTAACAGAACTTTCTCACACTATCATTTCGCTTATGACAGCAATCCTCTACTCCAATTTTGTTTCGATAGCTATTTTAAAATTGATTGTAGTAATGAGAAATCCTCAGTTTTGTTTATGATTTAAAACAATCCTATTTCTACACAGATTTTCACCAAAACAGTTTTAACTTACAAAGCTTAAAAAAACTTTTAAGGCATTCTTACATAGCTTTTTCAAAGGCTCCAACTTCATCGGACATCCCCAATCCATAGTAGCAGAGGGCTCCAAGACCAACAACAGCACCTCCAGCAACAATGAATCTTCCCATGCGGTCAACTGGCAAGAGAAAAAACAGCAGTGAACCATCTTTATCTGTATTTGCCTCACAGTTGGGATAATGTAATTTCTGAACTATGCGTGAGCCTGAACATGGTTGAATATGTGTGCTCATAATGCATAAAAGTGATAAGACAACTGAAATCAGAGTACAGAGCTCCTGTCAAGTAACAGTTGGAGAAAGCTCAATAAAGAAGAATATCTGAACAACTTTTGATTTGCTTACTAAGTCTTCAGAGAAATTTGCTGTTTCACTGTTTTATATTATTTTAGCATTTTAAGTTTTAAACCACCCTGGCTGCAATCTATGACTTGTAGAAACATATGCGAACAAAGAAACAAAACCTGTTTGATATAGGACCATGAATGATGTTTTGAGTACTTGAAATAGTGCAGCATGAAGATAATGTTGGACTGAAACTCCTAGTATTCCTCATCATTGCCTTTGCCTGCCAGGGCTGTGGGAAGTGGTAGTCCAGTATCTGGAGTACTACACAATTTCCATCCCCTTTGCAGACATATTGCTTGCATTGAATTTAGACATCATCAAAACCAGTTTGGAAACAGAGTAATTCCAAAATCCACTTATTACAACATTTTAAATGCATGTTAATTTAAATTAACTCTATAGTAGAGATATAATAGGACACCAACTTGCCCATTTCCTGCTGCCTCTTATTTTATTTATTTATTGATGTAAAACATTTATATTTCACCCTTCTCACCCCCCAGGGGACTCAGGGTGGAGCACAACATATATATGGCAAATATTCAATGCCGGGACATAAAATCATAAATAATTACAAACATTAAAATCACTTATATATAAAATCATTATTTTGCATTTCACCTTGCCTCTTCTCTGACAAGTAGTGAACTTTAAGGAACACACACACCTTTAAATGCTGTCTCCATTGATGGTTCAAAAGCAGCTTCTTTAATTTCTTGTCCAGTTTTCCCCCGACGTATTCCCACCCTAGCTCTGGAGGCATATCCCTGTTACAATAAAAAATAGATTCTAGATTTCTATTCAAATAGTAAACGGACCCCTCCCCCCCCCCCCGCATTGTGGACCACAATTCCCAGAATCCTATACTAACAAGGGATTCTGACTGCTGTAGTCAAAATGCTATTTCTCTCATATCTGAGTAAGATACCTACCTGATAAGGCTGCAAGAGCCACTGCTTGGTCTTGAGAGTGGAATTCCTAAAAGCCGAAGCATGACTGATGGCAGGGCCGAGGCCCCTGCTTGGAAGGGCCCGGAGGCACACCAACCTTGCTGCCAACATAACTGCGGCAGTCAGGCCAAGTGCAAGTCCTTCCTGTAACAACATAAAAGCAAGACAATTAATCCTCAGCAACTGTACTACAGGCATAGGGAAAAGGGTGGCATGAAGAAGCAGGCAAGTTCTATAATATTGTTGTGTAAGAACAGCTGGATACAATAGTGCTTCATATCAGGCTGCTTGCTCTACCACCTCTGGCTGACCAATCTCAAAGATCTCTAGCAAAGATCCATTATGGCTCCACTACTCAAGATCCCTTTAACTTGGAGAAGTCATGGATTTAATGAGGAAACCAAGAAAAATTCACATGGAAAGTTAGTATTCCAGTAGTAAATCGTAGTTATTCCCCATTTAGATAGAAAAGCAAAGGATCAAGTTCAGATAAAGACAGTACACTCCCTTCAATGTTGACAAGTGATTTAAAAAAATCTTTCACCTGTCAATAAATACAAACAAGTTCCAAAAGAAAGAAGTAAACAGAAAGATTCCCCAAGAGACAGAGGGTATTTTAACTTGGCGCTTCTTTACAAAACTAGAAGGCCACATTGTTTTAAACATGGCAGATGGCAACTTCAGGGATAAAGAGTGTATGCAAACTTTGGAAGTTACTGTTTCGGACTATAATTTTCCAATATCCCCAGCCAATATGGCTACTAGAAATACTGGCAGCCAAGATTACTAGAAATTACTCCACACCAACACATGGGCCCCTGTTGTTTCCTCCAAGTTCTCATTTTGTCTCACTAGAAAAACTGCAGGTATTAATAAGAGAAAAAAACAGAAATATCATACTCTCCCACCGCAGTTTTCTTCCCCCACAGATCTTATTTCCAGTCCCGTGTAAGAACAGGCACTGTAAGGGTCTGCTGGAATGTACAGGATTCAATTCAACAATTTTTCAAAACTTCCCCTGAGATACACTTTTGGTGTCCATGGTGAAAAAAGGCACTATATCAGTAGTTTTCTGTAATTTAATTAATGCAAAACTAGCAAGGATTCAAGAAAAATGTCACTAAATTTTCCATCTACCTCATTGTTGTTGTATGCCTTCATGTTTACAGTTCATGACAACACTGGTTTATGATAATCACAGGGTTTTCTTCAGAGGTGGCTTGTTTTTGCTTTCCCTTTGAGGATGACAGCGTGTGACCTGTTCAAGGTCACCAAGTGGATTTCCATGACTGAGCATGGACACGCCTTGTCTCCAGAATTATAATCCAATACTCAAACTATTGCATCACACTGGACCTTTCATCTACCATAAATTCTAAATGACTACTTGACATTAAGTACATAACAATGGCAACATAAGCTAGGAAAATATTGCACAAATGTGTCCTCTCTTCCTACTAATTTCAAATTATTTTGAACAGTGTCCTTTTAGATGAAAAAAGAAATTACAAACTTGGCTGAGAGTAATATCAACTGGACTTTTAAAACATACAAATCTAAGTTAAAGAATCATTATGTCAAAGAGATCTATGAAATGTGTCAAGGAAAGAGTTGAAGTAAAAAAATCATATTAGTTTTTTAACAGGGCTAGTTGTTTTTATACCATAATATATCTACATGGGAAACCATTCAGTTAATCATGACTCTATGAAACACCTAAAGAGCGGTTGACTGACAATGTTAGAAAGAGGACTCTTACTTAAACTGCATTCTTTTTCATACTTGACCCTGAGTAAGTCACATCTGACTGTAAAAATGTGAGACTTTTAAGCAGCCAGATCTAGGACTGAGATATTTGACTTAAAATTTTAAAATCACATATTTTTAGAAAACAAAGTTTCCTTTCAGCTTTCCCAATTTCTTAAAAATAAAAGGGAAGAGTAATAAAGATGATGCAAGAAGCAGTAACACTTCTTGGCACAGGACTCTACAAGGAGTTATCATTTTTTTAACAGGCAACTACATGCTGAGTCACTACATACCGAGTCATAACCATGTGACGTCACAATGAGTTTAAAAAGTCATGTGCCCTATAGTCCATTTTTTAATCTGAAAAAATTATCAGAAGATGCAATTAAGAAAAAAAATATGTTAGTTGATACTGCAATCTAGAACCAATTTCATGACATTATTTTTTTGGAAACATAGTGTCAGTAATATCTATCTATCTATCTATCTATCTATCTATCTATCTATATATACACACATACATATATATATATACACATACATACACACATACATACATATACGTATGTCTGTATGTGTGTGTGTGTGTGTATGTATACATATATATCTATATCTATATCGAGAAAGTGTGTGTATAGGGCCCCAGGTGGTGCAGTAGGTAAAACCACTGAGCTGAAGAACTTGCTGACCGAAAGGTTGGTGGTTCGAATCCAGGGAGCATGGTGAGCTCCCACTGTTAGACCCAGCTTCTGCCAACCTAGCAGTTCAAAAGCATGCAAATGTGAGTAGATCAATAGGTACCGCATCGGTGGGAAGGTAACAGTGCTCCATGCAGTCATGCTGGTCACATGATCACTAATCATTGTTTCCACAACCAGCCAGTTTTCAAAATCCAATTATTACAGGGACAGAAAAATGGGGTGAAATCTTCTCAACAGGGACACAAACTGCAAAATAAACCCCACAGAGGGTGATGTTGTTGTTGTTGTTATTATTATTATTATTATTTCTCTCCAACAAGGAGACCCAAAGCGGTTTTTACATTAAAAGACTTTCAGTACATTTTAAAGTTTACAAATATGCAAACATTAAAACAGAATAACATAGAGAGGTCATCCAGAATTTTGGAGTATGGTGCGACCTGCATGTGGATGACACCCAGCTCTATTACTCCTGTCCACTTAATGCAAAGGAAGCTGTCCAGACCCTAAACCAGTGCCTCAGTAATGGATGGATGAGGGCAAGCCAATTGAAATGTAATCCAGACAAGATTCTGATCAGAAGACAAACCAGGGAATAGGGATTCAGCCTGTGCTGGATGAGATCACTCTCCCTGAAGACACAGGCTTGCAGTTAGGGGGCCCTCCTGGACTCAGCACTGAAACCTGGAAGACCAGGTGTTGGCAGTGGTCAGGAGGCCTTTGCACAAGTAAAACATTAGTGCCAACAGTGCCCGTTCCTTGAGAAGCTAAATCTGGCCATGGTGGTACACGTCTTAGTTACATCCCGTCCAGATTACTATAATATGCTCTACGTGGGGCTGCCTTTGAAAAGTGTTCAGGAACTGCAGGTGGTTCAAAGATCTATAGCCAGGTTGCTCACTAGGGCTGGCTACAGGAAGCAGACAACCCTCTGTTGTAGCAGCTGCACTGACTAACGGTCTGTTTCTGGGCACAATTCAAAGAACTGGTTATGACCTTTAAAGCCCCAGACAGTTCAGGTCCAGGCTATTTGGCCAACCACATCCCCATTGTACAAAATTGCCTGGGCCCTGAGATCTTCAGAAGAGGCCCTTCTCTTGGTCCCAACTCCATCTCAAGCCAGTTGGTGGAAATGAGAGAACATGTCCTCATTCTCAGTGGCTGCCCCTTGTCTCTGTAACTCCCTTCTTCACAGGGAAGCCAGAATGGCTTACTCCTTGATATCCTTCCAGAGGCAGGCTAAAACCTTTTTATCCAGGCAGACTTTTAAAGATAAGGGTGTTTAAGATCAATTCAGGGGGTGCTGTGGTTTTTAATTTTGAAGATGTTTTAATGGTTTTTAACTGTGGGAATTTTAAAATACTGGTTATATTTAATCCTGTTTTAATGTTAGTATATTTGTATATTTTTACGTGGTTATGCTGATGCACTTGATCTTAGCCAAAAGGTTATGCTGATGCTTTTATGCTTTTATGCCAAGCCGCTTTGAGTCCCTTTTGGGGGATATAAAGCGGGGCAATAATAATAATAATAATAATAATAATAATAATAATAATAATAATAATAAAAGCCAGAATTGAAAAGTTGACAACAGATCCCAAGTGTAGACTCTGTAAGGAAGCAGATGAAACAATAGATCACTGCTGCAAGAAGATTGCATAGACTGACTACAAGCAGAGGCATAACACCGTTGTTCAGATGATTCATTGGAATTTGTGCCACAAAGTTACAGAGAATGAACATGTCAAGTTACTCTGGGACTTCCGGATTCAGTCAGAGTTTAGAAACACAATACTCCTGACATCACAATTGTGTTAAAAAACAAAGTATGGATTGTCGATGTTGCAATCCCAGCTGACAGCAGGATTGAAGAGAAACAACTGGAAAAGCTGACACAATATGAGGATTTAAAGATCGAACTGCAAAGACTCTGGAACAAGCCAGTCAAGGTGGTCCCACTGGGTGCAGTGCCTAAAGACCTTGGCCTGCACTTAAACACAATCGGGGTTGACAAAATTACCATCTTCCAGCTGCAAAAGGCCACCTTACTGGGATCTGCACGCATCATTAGCCGATACATCACACAGTCCCTGACACTTGGGAAGTGTCCGACGTGCGATCCAATACAACAGCCAGCAGAGTGTCTGCTGTGGACTCATCTTGTTGTGTTTCAAATAATAATAATAATAATAATGACAACAACATTATAAATCTTGTTAAACATCACACAGTCCTAGACACTTGGGAAGTGTTTGATGTGTGATCCAATACAACAGTCAGCAGAGTGTCTGCTGTGGACTCATACTGTTGTGTTTCAAATAATAATAATAATAATAATAATAATAATAATGACAACAACATTATAAATCTTGTTAAACATCACACAGTCCTAGACACTTGGGAAGTGTTTGACGTGTGATCCAATACAACAGCCAGCAGAGTGTCTGCTGTGGACCATCTTGTTGTGTTTCAAATAATAATAATAACATCATAAATCTTGTTAAACATCACACAGTCCCTGACACTTGGGAAGTGTCCAACGTGTGATCCAATACAACAGCCAGCAGAGTGATCTTGTCGTGTTTCTAATAAATAACAATAATAATAATAATAATAATAATAATAATAATAAATTGTATTTTAAATGCACAGTTAAGATCCATAACAACATAATCAAAGCTAATGTACAAATGCAGGGCTTCCAAGACCCCAAAGAGGCCTGGTCTCGAGCATTTCAGATGAGGAAGGTCCAACCTGGTCAGCATTTCTGAGGCCCCTTCCACACAGATGAATAAAATCCCGCATTATCTGCTTTGAACTGGGGTATATGGTAGTGTGAACTCAGAAAACCCAGCTCAAAGCAGATATTGTGGGATTTTCTGCCTTGATATTCTGGGTGATATGCCTGTGTGGAAGGGCATTAAAAAGTATCAGGAAGACCAGCTGTAAAACTAGGAGCCTGCCTCAAAGGCACTGAGGCCTCAAGGGTCACGTTGACGCAGTTTGGAGGATGCCAAAAAGTCAGACCCACGTTTAGAAACAAGAGATAGTGAATAATTAAAACAAGGGGCCCCTATTTGGCCTCCCTTATTCTGTGCAAGAGCTGCTACACCAGGCTATGAAGGCCCCTTCCCAAAGAGACTCTTCTCCTTCTCTGGCGATCCACTCACCTCTTCGGCGTCAGTTGCGTAGCGTACCTGTCTGGCCGGCAGCAAAGCCCTCTGGGAGGAAGGGAGGCGCGCGCCCCGCCCGCGCTCTCATTGGCTCCTCGCCGTTCCCGTGGCTCTCATCCAAAATGGGCACGTCGTCTCTTCGCCGGCCATCTTAACTGAGGGCAGCATTGAGTTCTATCCAGCCGCGTTCATCAAATGGCTGCCGCTGTTGGGGAGGCCTCAGAAACTTCTAGAGGTCCCGCCTGCGCTGAGGCTGGCGGTCCTCCATTTTGGTTACTGGCGTTGGAAGCCATGTTTGTTGCGGTCACGTAAGCGTCACTTAGGGACGCTGACGCTGCGCACTGAGCAACGCAGGCCTTTACTTCTCAGGTCCCATGATTTTCGGTGGAGTCCCTGGTGGCGCAGTGGGTGAAAACCCCTGTGCCGGCAGGACTGAAGACCGACAGGTCGCAGGTTCGAATCCCGGGAGAGGCGGATGAGCTCCCTCAATCAGCTCCAGCTCCTCATGCGGGGACATGAGAGAAGCCTCCCACAAGGATGATAAAAATATCAAATCATCCGGGCGTCCCCTGGGCAACGTCCTTGCAGACGGCCAATTCTCTCACACCAGAAGCGACTTGCAGTTTCTCAAGTCGCTCCTGACACCATCTTCGGTGGGTTTATTGTGATACAATAATTAAAACGAGGAACAATTTTAACCAACATAAATTTCGGGCTATATGGCCATGGTCTAGAGGCATTCTCTACTGGAGTTTCGCCTGCATCTATGGCAAGCATCCTCAGAGGTAGTGAGGTCTGTTGGAACTAGGAAAATGGGTTTATATATCTGTGGAATGACCAGGGTGGGACAAAGAACTTGTCTGTTGGAGCTAGGTGTGAATGTTTCAACTGACCACCTTGATTAGCATTTGATGGCCCTGGCAGTGCCTGGGGCAATCTTTTGTTGAGAGGTGATTGGATGTGCCTGATTGTTTCCTCTCTGTTTTGCTGTTGTAATTTTAGAGTTTTTTTAATACTGGTAGCCAGATTTTGTTCATTTTCATGGTTTCCTCCTTCCTGTTGAAATTGTCCACATGCTGTGGATTTCAATGGCTTCTCTGTGTAGTCTGACATGGTGGTTGTTGGAGTGGTCCAGCTTTTCTGTGTTCTCAAGTAATATGCTGTGTCCAGGCTGGTTCATCAGGTGCTCTGCTATGGCTGACTTCTCTGGATGCGTGGCGGGGGGGGGGGGCTTGGGGGGCTTCCCCCCCCCCCCCCGAAATTCTGATGGTGGTCCGCGAGAAGGCCTTAAGGTAAAGGTAGTCCCCTGACATTAAGTCCAGTCATGTCTGACTCTGGGGTGTGGTGCTCATCTCCATTTCTAAGCCGAAGAGCCAGCGTTGTCCGTAGACACCTCCAAGGTCATGTGGCCGGCATGACTGCATGGAGCGCCGTTACCTTTCCGCCAGAGCGGTACCTATTGATCTACTCACATTTGCATGTTTTCGAACTGCTAGGTTGGCAGAAGCTAGGGCTGACAGCGGAAGCTCACACCGCTCCCCGGAATCGAACCTGTGACCTTTCGATCAACAAGCTCAGCAGCTCAGTGCTTTAACCCACTGCGCCACCGGGGGCTCCTAAAATTATTTGTTGTTGTTGTTCATTCGTTCATTCGTCTCCGACTCTTCGTGACCTCATGGACCAGCCCACGCCAGAGCTCCCTGTCGGCCGTTACCACCCCCAGCTCCCTCAAGGTCAGTCCAGTCACTTCAAGGATGCCATCCATCCATCTTGCCCTTGGTCGGCCCCTCTTCCTTTTGCCTTCCACTTTCCCCAGCATCACTGTCTTCTCTAAACTTTCCTGTCTCCTCATGATGTGGCCAAAGTCCTTCATCTTGGCCTCTACTATCCTTCCCTCCAATGAGCAGTCAGGTTTTATTTCCTGAGGATGGACTGGTTGGATCTTCTCGCAGTCCAAGGCACTCTCAGCACTTTCCTCCAACACCACAGCTCAAAAGCATCGATCTTCCTTCGCTCAGCCTTCCCTAAGGTCCAGCTCTCACATCCGTAGGTGACTACAGGGAATACCATGGCTTTGACTAGGCGGATCTTTGTTGCCAGTCTGATGTCTCTACTCTTCACTATTTTATCAAGACTGGACATTGCTCTCCTCCCAAGAAGTAAGCGTCTTCTGATTTCCTGGCTACAGTCTGCATCTGCAGTAATCTTTGCCCCTAGAAATACAAAGTCTGTCACGGCCTCCACGGTTTCTCCTTCTATTTCCCAGCATAGGATCACCGCCTTGTCGGGGCGCTGGAGCTTGAGCACCTCAATGATGTCATGAGCGAAACCGTGAAGGGCCACCCAAGACGGGACGGTTGTGGCAGAGAGGTCAGATCCCTGGGGTTGTGGCAGAGAGGTCAGACCCCAAGCGTGATCCCTGGGGAAGGCAATGGCAAACCACTCCAGTATCCTTGCCAAGAAAACTAAATGGACCAGTACAACCAAGTACCTTACTGGTGCATTATTTAAACTGTTATTTTTATTCATATCATGTTCTGATCACCATACTCAATATATCCCATATGCATGGGGTATTGGGGTAATGATACAAAAGGTTTGCTAGGGTAGACCCTCTTTCATTCAGACTCAGCCCCCCCCCCCGCCAACCAGCCCCCCCCCCCCCCGAAACAAAATCCTGGCTACAGGCCTGACTGACCGCATAGGGAAGCTGATGAGGAAACACAACATACAAACTATCTACAGACCCACCAAGAAAATCCAACAAATGCTACGTTCAGCAAAGGACAAGAGGGATCCTCTTGCTTCTGCAGGAGTCTACTCGTATACCATACAGCTGTGGACAAGTCTACATAGGGACCACCAAACGCAGCAGCATTGCCCAAACACGAATCAAGGAACATGAAAGGCACTGCAGACCACTTCAACCAGAGAAATCAGCGATAGCAGAGCACCTGATGAACCAACCTGGACACAGCATATTATTTGAGGACACAAATAATTATTTGGGCGGAGAGGGGCGGTATATAAATATGGTAAATAAATAATTATTTTTAGCTTCAAGCAAAAGTCAACCATATAATCATTCTGGAAGATCAAGGGCCCTTCCACACAGCCCTCTATCCCAGAATATCAGATAATGTGGGATTTTCTGCCTTGATATTCTGGGATATAGGGCTGTGTGGAAGAGCCCCTAGACATTCCTGGAGGAATGTTCTCTCAGGTTCCTTCTACAGTGTCCTTACATCCCAGGATTGGATCCCAGATTATCTGCTTATTCTAGATTATATGGCACCGGAGACTCATATAATCCAGTTCAATGCAGACAACCTGGGGTCAGACTCTGGGATATCAGGTACAACAAAATAGCAATTTATTTAATCATTTTTTTCACTTTCATTGGATTCCTGGGCTCCTAAACCCAGTGCATGTGGATGACCAAAAGTAAGATACATCACCCCATGTGAAGTTACATATGTGAGTACAGTTAACACGGCTTTCTCTGTAGCTGCACCTTGACTGTGCAACTCCTTGCCCAAGAATATTATCCACTGGCTGCCATTCATTTTCCGGTCCCAATTCAAGGTGCAGGTGCTTACCTACAAAGCCCTAAACCAGGGGTCCTCAAACTAAGGCCCGGGGTCGAATATGGCCCTCCAAGGTCATTTACCTGGCACTCACTCAGGGTCAATCTAAGTCTGAAACAACTTGAAAACACACAACAACAACAATCCTATCTCATAAGCCAAAAGCAGGCCCACACTTCCCATTGAAATACTAATAAGTTTATATTTGTTAAAATTGTTCTTAATTTTAATAATTGTATTGTTTTTAAGTGTTTTTTGCACTACAAATAAGATAAGTGCAGTGTGCATAGGAATTCATTCATGTTTTTCTCAAATTATAATCCGGTCCTCCAACATTTTGAGGGACTGTGGCCTGGCCCTCTGTTTAAAAAGTTTGAGGACCCCTGCCCTAAACGGTTTGGGACCCACCTATCTCGTGACCACATCTCTGTGTATGAACCCACATGATTTCTTCGTTCATCTGGAGAGGCCCTACTCACGATCCCACCTGCATCGCAAGCGCGATTGGTTGGGACGAGGGATAGGGCTTTCTCGGTGGTGGCCCTCGTCTCTGGAACTCTCTCCCTAAGGACATCAGGCAAGCCGCATCACTGGCAATTTTTAGGAGGAGCTTGAAAACGTGGTTGTTCCAGTCTGCCTTCCAAGAATAAGGAAACTCCAAGCACTTTGCCCCAACACACTTTATCAGAGATTTAGGATATCTGCAAACCCATCCCTCTCCAAACACCTACCCTTTTCTCCTGGTTATGCCCAGCACTTTTTTAATTTTAATTATTACATTTGGCCCTGCCATAGTTTTTAATTGTGTCATTGTGTGTTGTTAATGTTATTGCTTTGCTTTGTTTTTTATTTATTTTGCTGTATTGTTGTTGTTTTATTATTGTATTTGGGCTCGGCCTCTTGTAAGCCGCACCAAGTCCTTCGGGAGATGGTAGCAGGGTACAAATAAAGGATTATTATTATTATTATTATTCTGGCCCCATCGCTTTAATAAGCTTCCAGCAAGCAGCTGCAGCTGCCGTTCCACACAGCACTCAACATTTGAAATTTGCTCTGTGTTTTATGATTATTTTATACTGTTTTGAAGAGTACTCCAGTGTGTTTTTAAAATGTGCTTATCTTCATACTGTTTTAATTGCTTATATTTGTTCATTGCCCCTGGAGCCCCAATGAGCTGGGAGATGATACGAAATTTCTTCAACAAGTATCACACAGTACTCTTGTCGCTTTACACTTCGGCCCCAAGCAGAAATTCTGGTTGTTTGGCTACCTTCTCTACCTCTCACCTGTACTGATGAAAGAAAGGCAGCCTGTAAAATACTCTCTCTGTGTTGATTCCATGTATTCCAATTAATAAAATTACCTTTAAAGATTCTCATACTTCTGTAGCAGTCATTTGTTAATGGTGTCTAAACAGAGACAGATGGAAAATTCACAGCTCCCCCAGTATGTTTAAGAATTGTGTTCTTCATAAATTATAAGTGCATGATTACATGACATAAGAGGCTTAT